CATGATGGTTCATGGCGGTGCTTACAAAATTACGTCTTTAAATTCTGTGTTTTGTTACTCATTTGAGGGTTTCTGTGATTTGTTATATAAATGCCGATGTAGTACTTTCAAATATACCACGATCGCCTCTCGCTATTTGTTCACTATTCGTGATCATCTTCCCATCTTATTCTGCACTATATTATCTCTGAAATTGATTTGGGTTTTGGAGAATGCTAAAACATGACTCAGAGGTATAGGCATAGTTCCCGAAAGTCTGGAATTGCTCAGTATGAGTATCTGTATGTTTGGTTTATTTTTTCACGCATTTCTGAAAAAAAAATTGAGTTAAATATGCTCCGTGAAGTATAAGTGTTAAATGCTTTCTTTATCCTTATAGTTTTTTCTATACTTCTCAGTCTATTTTGCGTTTTTCATTAATTATATTGGCTCTCCTTTTAATTTAATTTAATTTGCTATCACATCGTTCTCCGTTCTTTGTTATTCTCTCGCATATTACGATTTACGAATTTCTTTGGTTACATTTGTTTCCTTGGTGTAATTTTTTGCAGTAGGAATTTTCTATTTAGTCTTCCTTTCATTCATTATGCTTTAATGTTATTCTTGTTCTGTCTTCCTCGGTATTTTTTATTTGTTTTCCTTTTATCAGTCTCTTCCCCCCCCCCTTCCAGTGGTTCGATTTCAGAATTCGCAGTATTAATTATACCCTTCCCCAGGGGGTATGAACACGATCCTTTCGTGTACGAGACAAATTGGCGCGTTAAATTTTGTGTTTATGAAGGTACGAGGCAGATGCGCATTGTCTTGACAGTCATCTCTTTTCCACAGCGCAGTTAAATGAGGCGAAGTCATAAACGGAGACAGTTCGTGGTCAATTTACATTCTAATACTCCTCGTCTGTTTCAAGTGAATAATGACACATGTCAATAATGGTCAATCAGCTGCAACTCTGCCAGTCATGCAGAGAAAATGGAATGGACAGACAGTCCGCGGTACTTATCACGATTTCTGCATATGCAGTAAAAGCCAAGGGGCGGGGTCTTTTGCTTCCATATTTAATTATGCTACCGACAATTTTGCGAAATTGTTTGAGTTCTGTCGCTTATTAAAAGAAGCAGAAAATTCGAGGAACAATTTACGAGGCTTACTTTTGTTTCGGTCTATTTGGTCAGACTAGCAAGAATTGTAAAGTGGTAGACTTAATTACATAATTTAATGATAATTCCCACTAGTACGTATTTCGACTATATTAAATTTTCCCGATATAACTTCAAAATGACGTACCGTCTCCATGTTTATTATTGTATACAGCGTGCCCCGCCCATCCCGTAAGTCTTGATTTAACAGTCCCGAGTTTGTTAGGCTGAGACCTCTTGGTATCTCTTCTTTTTTTGCGTTCGCCTGGCACAGAATCTCCGTTAGAACTGTGTATTTTCTTCATTACTTTAGCAGTTTAATACAAATTTCTTTTAGTGTGTGTTGACAGAAATTATAAATAGTTAGCTTAGTTCCACGACAGGGTGCTTGCATATGATAAATATATCCTGAATCGGTTCTCCCAAGAAAAAAGAGACAAAGTTTTCACACCCGGAAGAAACAAGTACCTGCTTTAGAGTTGTGTTTGCAAGTGACGGACGTTTATGTTAGTTACGGCTTCAGAGTTGCAAAGAATGCATTTGGAAACATTGTACGCTTTTTCTCTCACGTAAGGTTCTGATTGCTGCTATTGTAGACCCGGAATCATTGCTGTCTTTGAATGTCTGTCCAATAGTACCTCATCCTGCCCAAGTAGTAGAAACCTGATGTGTGGTTTTCCTCTTTCTAGCTCATGTGGATAACGAGATGTACCTCTCCCGGTCCCTCGAGAGGCTGGGGGGTAATGCGCTGAGCAAAGACCAGGAACCGGATATTGGAGCAGCTTTTCTTAAATTTGCTGTCGTCACCAAAGAGCTCTCGGCACTTATGAAGACTTTGGTACGTATATCCTTCATACTCCCAGAGCTTTGTAACATATAGCCTACTACAAGATAACTAATGAAAAATACCCCTATTATTTATTTGTGATTGTTTGCTGGTTAGAGCCGCGTTTGTATGTACCCGACGTTTCGGCGCACATTACAGTAGCCATCTTCAGGGCGAAAGTTTTGGCATTGTGAATATCGTAGTGAATGAAGACGGGCGTCTTCTGGGTTATATATATAACGTTTACCGACGTTTCATTGGTGCTTGCTGCCTCCATCGTCATGGCACTTGTCGCCCTGTTTGTAACTGTACATTCGCATTTAATTCACAATTACTGCAAGAGGATTGATTGTCTTACTGCGCGCATTCTGAACAAGAAAATGTTTGTGTTATGGGCGTTAACAGTTCAAGGAGAATGTGACGAAGAACGAAACAAAAAGTAAACGATGTGCGAACAAGTGAAATTCGTCAGCTGTGTACACAGTGTGATGCAAGACGAAGCGTGGACATGGCAAAACACTGGCTGTTGCAGAAAGAGGCGGAAATACTTGTCTGTAACACAAAACCTTTTTATAACGGAAGCCAACTACCCTCATACATGTTCTCGTTTCAGACAGGGTTTTATCAAACATGGTTCGTACCTGGGGTACGTCTGAAGACAAGTTGATGTTCTGTGTGTAAACTACACTGTCACTGAACAGTACATTTTCCCCCCTTTCTTTAGTTGGTGGATAAGTAAGCTTGTTCGGATGTTGTAGGAAGCCCTCCTGGAGAAACTGACGAAAACTGAGCAGTCAGTCACAGCCTGTCAGTCGGGATAGACATTATTTCCAGGGCTACCCGAGTTAGGATCCGCAGCGCTGCCTGTCGGTGTAGACGCTAGACTGAGTAATGTCGACTGTGGCCTTCTGAGTTAACACCGTGTAGCCTTGTTACCTATGTTTCTGTGGAACGTTGGTAAACACCTACAAGATTACGTGGCGTCACAACTCGAAAGGCCACAATCGATATTTCCACCCCTGCCATTAGAACCTCAAATGCCATGTAGAAGTTTGTCTTGGAAATCTGATAAATTGCAAACAAGAGGGAGAAAGCTCGGCTTTATATCTTTGTTGTAGACAAAAAAAATTTGTCGATAATATGGAGTTCTGTAAGGTAACAGATTGTGAAAGAATGGAGCATCTAATTCAGCAGCTACGTAAGCCTGATGTGTGGAAAAATTAAAGTTGTGCGACCAGACTTGCGAAAGCTACGAAATTACGGTATTTCCAGTTTCCGATGCTATTGTCCTTAAATCTTACGAATCATTTTCTCCGCGGTATATAAAATGTTTGGTAAGTCATGAAATATCCAACAGTCTTTTGTCTCAGTGTTTTGATTCGTTTCTGTGAGAATATGTGGATTAACTTTTACAAATTTACAGTATCTTAACAGGCATTTAGAATTGCCCACGTAGACCAGTTAAGTGAAATCGTGTCCAGATCCTTTATCTGTAATCAGCGCCATAACCCAAATGATCACTTGACATGTACGTATTACGACGACAATACAGCCCTAAAATCGTTTGTTTGTTTCCATGAAGAACATAAAACACAGGCATATATGATCAAACAATTCGTATGGCCTCTGTCAGATTCATACGTGTTCAGTAATGATTGTGGTGTGTGTGTGTTTGTTTGTATGTAAGCATGTGTTATCATTAGTCATCTCGTTACTACATATTCTGTGACTCAGAAGTTCCATGAAATGTTTTCATCTATACAGCCCATAGAATGTACGTAGGTAAGTTGTAACTTGTCCATTAATATTGTCAAGAACCTTTTTACACATACGGTGGACATGCATTCTTCGTGGGCATAAAATACCTTCATTAATTTAATATGCAGAATTAATTAACAGATTCTGTCGAGGCATTATGTAATTAGTGAGGCAGTGATTATAATTTGTTGTGGAATGACAGTGGCAAGGCTGTCTAAACATGCAGTAGTTAATCGCTGTTTGTTATAATCTATAAACATTACTCTCTTGCACAAACAATTTCGTCCTCAGTTGTTTTCCGTATCTCAGAGTAAGCAAATGCATTCTCTGGAAGTGTCGTGTATTTATCACGTATGATTTCTGTATCAAACTTCATTTTTCCGGGGTTTTTTTTCCAATGGACCGTTCCTGTGAATTATTTGTATACTGATGGCTGTGTATTATTAGGATATTTGAAGTGGCAATAGTTACCTACTTCAAAGTGTCGGAAGTTGGTTTTATTCTGATTCAGCCATTATTTGTGACAGTCTGTTATGAGGGCGGTTTTAATTTGACCCGGAATTTTCGTTATTTCTTCATTCGTTACAGACCCGACCTAAAAATTCTGTGATGTAAGGATATCACAAGTTTGTACCTGTATAAGGAGAGTGCCTCGAGAAAACTATCAAATATGAACCAGGTATGATCAGTTATTCAAGGTCAGATTTTAACCGCCTGCGTACATTCCTGTAACAACCCTCAGACACTGTAAGTTCTACCTTCAAGAAAAATCAGCACGTACTTCTGAAACGTCCGTAATTTTTACTACTTTTTGACACTGGTACCCAGAAGACTCAGTAATGAACTTTGACTTCACTGCTTTCATTTCACCTTTACTGCGTTCAATTCTGAAGCCCCCCCCCCAGACGTGAGACATTGGATGTTTGACAGTTTTAATTAGGGTCAAGATTGCTTTTGTATGACTTCTTGAAAATGGTAATTACATCAGAAACTTTTTGGTTTGTAAACCGTGGCAAATGGCATTTGCTTTTATTTCTTAAGCACTGTTTATTTATATCTACTTGTGTGTTTTGGCTTGTGTCTAACGGTAGTGTGTACGTGCGTGTTAGTGAGAATAAGTATCATGCGACTTTGCACACTAATCTGCATACAACCTTGAGAACTGGATTCACTTACATTTGTAGTGGGAATATAACAAACAATACCCGTATTACGTATTTATCTTGTAAATCCCGCACTATTAAAAACATTCCAGATTACCTCTGCCATGTTTTTTACTCTGATTAGGTAAATTCTGTCTGTATCTAAATGACCATTTATATACAGATGTTCACACCAACATTCCATATCCTTGTCGAAATATTTTTTTCAATCTCATTTGCATCTCCTCACACTTCGACCATTTGTTTGTGGTTTATTTAGCAACGTCGAATGATACCAAGAAGGAATAAGGAATGGAAAGGATTTTGAAGGAATCAGTCGTAGCATAATGCAAGGTATTATCCCAGCATTTGCCTGGTGGACAAAGGAAAGGCATGGCGAACTAGAAAGTACGCAAGATTAAAAAAACATACGTATCGGTGGGCTGTGGATTGATAACCCCTGGTTTATATGCATCTCTGTATTGTTGATGGAACAGTTTTCACTCTTGATTTCAACAGGACCTTTTCCTCAGAAGCTAGTTTTGCAGCAAGAGATTGTATTGTCTTTCTCAAACTTGGCCAATTAGCATTTGCTCTCATTTGTCTTTGTGTTGTGACTTACACTAAAAAAGGGTTTGAGGTTATGTTAGGACATGTTATTAATCCCAACCTGAATAGTTGCAGATATGAATAACAGCAACCACCATGCAATTAGATTTGTGTCTTTGCAAGGATCTTGGTTTGACTGTTCTGTCCACACAGGATTTTGCATAGAAGAAATTTAAGATTTTCTCCACTGACTTCGTGCTTTTACAAACAGTTGTATACTGTAGGAGTGGGGAGTTAGGTTGTTGTGTGGAGCTGTTGTTTCCTTTTGGCAAGACGGGTATTTTAAAGTGAATGCTGGCCAGAAAAGCTCGTTAGAAGAATTCTGCAATTTAAACATTCTTAAATGTGGTCATTGAGGGAAAGGTACTTCATGGCAAGAATTTACGTGGTAAGAAATTCACACTTGTTTTAAACTCTGGTTGTGAATTCATTCTGAGTTGTAGCTCGTAAGATTTGTGAATTTCTGATACGATCTGGATACATAAAAATTGTAATACATAATCAGTTGTAATTAAGCCAAGACAAGTAACCAGCTTCCTCACACTGCCATATTTGTGTGTTTTTATTGTCAGATATCTTTCCCTTTTGTTGGAGTGGGGTGTTAACTCTATAAGGAAGTTATAAATGCTTTGTTTACACTTATCACATAACTGGCTCTTAGTGTAATATCTTAACTCATATCACAGGTAAGTTGGATGCCTGTGGCTGTATTTTCATTAGCATGGCGTTCTTTCCACAAAGCGTATTTATGGGTTAGTTTTATTATCAGATTTAACAGCAGTTGTTTTCCTAAACATTATTGATTGACTGATTTTTTTACAGGCTGCATGTTTTCTATAACTTAAGAACCAAATTCCTGAATGTTACTTAGATTGTGTTTGCGCATCAAGGGTAGAATCTTTATTATTCGACCTAAGGTTATTTGATATTGTTTTATCCGACGTGCCGTGCTGGAACGATCAATTTTATCAAGTCAACATTTCTTCTTCTTTATTACGCCGTCTCCTTTACAGGAGTTTGGCGACATTATGAACAGAATCCTTCCATCCCTTCTCGGACTGGGACCTGTTCATGTATGTTTTTAGGCAGGTGATACAGAAGTGCCTTCTTCTGTGTGTATGGAGTTATGGAGTAATTGTTGGGATGCCACGGAGAAACCGGGGCAGCCCCGGAGGAAAACTCCGTGTTGACTAGACCACGGCCTTGCCCAACACGTTATAAATTCGGGCACCGCCGGGAATCGAACCCGGGACCCCAGGATTACAAGGCCAGCGTACTAACCGCTAAGTCAACATTTAGCGGAATAAATCACACTCCCCCCATGCACCTACTACTACACGCTGGGTTGATCGGATTTCTGTGTAAATGCTACAACATAGAAGCATGCATAACCTTTTCTTTACGTGTTTCCTATTTCAGATGCAGAACATAAACAACATTGTGATGTTTCCATTAGAGAATCTCCTCAAAGGTGACCTAAGGGGTGTTAAAGGTGACTTGAAAAGGCCATTTGACAAAGCATGGAAAGATTATGAAGCCAAGTATGCAAAGATAGAGAAAGAAAAGAAGCAGCAAGCAAAGGAAGCAGGATTAATTCGAACTGAGGTTACGTCTGCAGAGATTGCTGATGAAATGGAGAAGGAGAGAAGAGTTTTCCAACTGCAGATGTGCGAGGTACAGTACTTGGGTCTAGTCCCGCTACCGTATGACAACCCTTGGAAGCCAACACGTATTTAAATAATATTTAGGATCTCAGTCTATTACAAATGTCAACTGCCAAACACTATTGAAGGAAATAATTGCCGTTTTTTACGAGAATCATAGGAAAAACACAAATTCACTCTGTAGGTAAAATGGGTAAACAGTTCATTTGTTGAAATGTTCTTACTTAATGGTAACATTTAATTTAAGATTGAAATCTAGTTCCTGCATTCATAAGTATAGTCGGCGCAGTAGTTTTTGGCCGGTGGAATTTTCAAGGGGAAGGCTAGGAGCGAGTCATTTGTGCGATAGTATAATGCTGACTGCACCGAGGAGCTTATCGGACTGAACGCCCAAACAAAAGAAATTCACTGACCGTGCCACCTCAGGTACACAGAGTAGGCCTGCCCGCCAGCTCCGCTAGCTTCTCCACCGGCCAAAAACTATATATTATAGGGAGTTTCAGTAGGTGCATCATTGTTTTGAAGTGTGAACGCTAATGTTTTAAATAGTTTTCTTGTAAATTCTTTGGATGTTTGTTTGTTACCATAGTTTGTGTGCAGGTATTTTGGAGGTATTCTTCCCTTTGTCCAAAGCTGTGATCTCCTCTGAGTGCAAACGATTGTGTGGGACTTACCTTCCTACCACTTGCTGAATTCTGTGTAATGTACATCTTGTATCTGCCATATATGGTTGGGAATAGCATTGCAAAATCAATAAAGTGTCACCCCATGACTATCTCTCCCTAAAACTCCCCTCCCTATACACTTCATAGTGTGTACCGTCACATGTGCATCGACTCTTCCCTTCTCATGTCAGGCAGGAGACCTCCAGTTATAGAAATAACATAAGTTAATCATTTATTTATGCAGTAACTGTAAGTTGTGGGACGAACTTCTTTCCTTGAAATGTTTTAATCCGTCTGGCAAGCCTACGAAGAGCTATAGACCCATTTCTGTGCATAATTTCAAACAGCTTTCAACTTGCTTCACATTACCTCTGAGTTATGCCGCACCATCGTAATTTTCGTATGAAAAACGGTTTCTTAAAATATTTGTAGGTACAATTATAATTCTATACAACGCTTTACAGGCATAAATCAGCTTGTTCATTGATCATCGCCTTTAAATGAAAGGCTGGATACAGATTTCTTGTCATTGTCAGTTATTTTACATTTTACAAAAGAATTACCTAAACCATTTAAAGCCGCTGTCAATTATTTTTACCACATGCTTTAACAGTCGGCATCAATGCTTTTTATCTGATGTGTCTTTGTGTTTTTTGTATGATTCTCTGAATAAACAGTGGTTATTTAGATTTGTCTTCTGGGTTGTTGCGCTGTGTAGTCTGGTCGATGTTAACCAACGTTTCAGAGGTCATACTACCTCTGTCATCAGGGCGATTCTTAGTATGAAGATTTCTGTCTTCAGGGTTGTTGCGCTGTGTAGTCTGGTCGATGTTAACCAACGTTTCAGAGGTCATACTGCCTCCATCATCAGGGCGATGAAATGTCGGTAAACATCGACCAGACTACAAAGCACAACAACCTAGAAGACAGAAATATTTATACTCACCGCTGTGAAAACCTCACATCTTACACAGTGGTTATTTACTCAAAGAGCATTAGCCAGTTGGTCTTAGTAATGGAGAAGTAACGAAATCTTTAAATGTTACTTAGATGAGCTTTGGCTTCAGAGGGTTAACAAAGTTTTGTTCTTCTGGAGCTTTATTACTACACAAAATTCAGGGCTCTCCATTAATTTGTGCTCCTGTTGATCCCACGTGTCCAGTTTCCATTATTATTATTGGTAAGAAATAAAAGAAATACGAAAGTAAGATGGCCTCTTAAAACTATAAGTTTTTTCAGGAGTTATTAAGGAGAGATGAACATGATGGTATCATAAGCCTGTTTTCGTTATAAAGTAAGCAGTGTGCTAGAAAATGTCACATTTTATGAATATTTTTAATCATCTGAGTAGATTTGTAAAACATTAAAATTGCTTGAATGAAGCCACGTCGTAATACAAGTGGTTAAAGTTTGCTTCCGGAAGATGTATTGCTGATTTAAAGCTCTTGGCAGTTAGTGAGGGATATGTGACGGGCAAAGTGGTACTTGAGCAGGGTTTTCTCCAAGTTATTTGATTTTTCCTGTCAGCCATTTTTCTGCCAGTACTCCATACTTATCTCTTCCCTTGGTTCCCATTTTGGATGTCTTTTCTGGCCCAGTTATTGGCTGAAGTTGATTTTAAAACTGTTATAAAACCATTTGGGGTCCGCAGTGGCCGCGCGGTCTGAGGCGAGTGCCTTGTGCCGCTTGGTTCTCTGGGACCGTGGGTTCGAATCCCACTGAAGCCATGGATGTTTGTCCGCGTTGTTCTGTGTTGTGCTGTCCTGTGTACAGGTAGAGGCCTTGCGACGGGCCGATCCCTCATCCAAGGAGTCCTACCGAATGTCTATAGATCAAGCCAATGAAAAGTTGGGACCCGCAGTGCTCAGGCACTTGAAGAACGGGTCGTTCCCAGTATCCCAGTAGAAAACCATTTTTAAAGAATGGGTCATTTACTGTTCAGTGACTATACAGTTAAACTGTTGTGAGAAATATAAAATAAATATTCTGGAACTTGTTTTTCATTTGTTCTTATTTAAATTGATTCATGGAGATTGTTTATGTTTTTTTTTCAGTACCTGATCAAAGTAAATGAAATTAAAACTAAGAAGGGCATTGAACTGCTTCAACACCTCGTTGAGTATTACCACGCACAAACTAAGTAAGTAAAAAAGTGGCTGTGTGGTAAAATAAGTCTTTCTGAAGAGTATCTTAATTGCATAATAAATTAACGTTCTATGAAACATGAAGCTAGACTGATTACCTCTCATTTTATCTGTTCTGATAAGGAAGGCCGTTGAGCTAACAGACATGATTTTTTCTCTCCTTTCACATCTTATTGATTGTGAGAACCTTATTACAAAAGACCAATGCGTTGGGCAGCTTCAGTATCAAGGGTCTCGGGTTTGAGGCTGGTCTGATTCGAAATGGATTTTTCGACATATGTGCATTTGTATTTTTGTTACTACTGTCAAAGGTGAAATGTAGCAGCAGTTAGGAGTACTGTCTCGTGGTTTGGAACCCACATTAATGTTCTGTTTGTTATGTTGCATAACGTGTAAGATTTAAGTAATTATCAGCCAAGAATTAAATTGAACGATCTACAAGCTTTCAAATCTTGCGTGGCGCAAAAAGATAATTCCTGTGTTCCCATTGGCTAGTGCAGGAGATACAGAAACAGGGAAATGCCCTTCTGGCAATGAACGTGTCGAACATAATTTTGCGGCTGGAAGATCATCACAAGATCCTTACCAGGGTATGATGTTTTTATTCTGAATTGCTTACATATGTAAAGTGGAAATCAGTCTGAAACAGAAAATTGTTCAGGTAAGTTGAGTTTCCTAAAAGCAGATTTTACCATAGTGTGAAATTCGTTGTTGTTTGTTTGTTTGTGGCATTAAAGTCATTATAAATGAATTTTGTGACCGTTGTGAACATGTGACTTTGACATACATACTGGACCATTTCACAAATAGTTCTGCACTAATCAAATTCCTGAAAACCTAATTATGGCATAGATAGCTAGCCCCTGGTATGATTCAGTGCCCTTCACACTGTCATGTACAACCATTATATTGAATTGTGTATAATTTGTGTTCTTTGTCACTTTATAAGCTACTTCCAAGATGGCCTGAAGACGATAGAGCATTTTGGCAGTTACGTCGCAGATCTTTCTATTAAACTGCAGAATATCAGGCAGAAACAAGATGAGGAAAGGCGAAGATTAACAGAACTCAGGACTCTCTTGCGGAATGCACCCGGACTTGACAAGGAGGTCAGTAAATAAGGACACGTAAGAGGTTTTTATGTCAATATATGGCTCTGGTTTTTAATAGTGGAATGCAACAATACATTTGACTGATCTTTTTTGTTACAAATCAAAAGCATTTACAAATTCGAATTCTTTTATAAAGAAAACTGATCTTTGATACAGTTTACATAAATTGCTGTTATTATTTTTGTAAAAGGTTTGAAAAGTGTTACTCTTCCTTTCCATAAAAATTAGCAGTGGAGCCAGGAGCTAAACGTTTGTTCTAAAAGATCAGGACACTGACCTCTGTGAACAGGGGACAGAAGAACTCATTCTCCATTATGATTAATATCTGTCTTCAGGAGTACTATTTTTTTTTTCTTATCCAGTACACACCATTCAGCATGGTGTGCATTGGTGGTTAGCAGGATGTGCATTGGTGGTTAGCAGGATTCACGACCCATCAGTACATGGGTTCGATCGGGACCGCGACCGCGACATTTAACGCTCCTGCTGTGACCTCCTTTTTTGCGAGATGATGATGAAAGTGGGGTAATTGTTGGGATGCCACGGAGGAACCGGGGAAACCCCGGAGGAAAACTCCGTGATGCCTGGACCACGGCCTTGCCCAACACAAGCTGTAAATCTGAGCACCGCCCAGCGTTCTAACCGCTAGACCACCGTGGCGGTTGTACTATGCTTAATAATGGTTTACAAGTCATGGAATGGCATGGTGTTACCCGTATCAGAGATTTAGTGCAGTGGTCCCCACGCGTTGTTACGGAAAGATAATGAAGGCCGTTCAACCATGAACATTATAAAATCAAAGCACAGATCTCGACTTACTGATGCCCATCTTGACGATTGCGAGCAGCAACGTCATCCTACGCTTCCAACTTTGAAAAACTGGCCGATGAAATGCAGTGCCAAACATCACACTAACTTCCCACTTGAGTAATAATAATTGTACTTATAAAAGTACGTATTTTTGATTGCGTGGTTTCTTGTATCATTAAACGTCATGTTGTTTTGTGTATTATTTGGTGTCCATATCTTCTTTGTCTAGAGAAAAGAAAATTTGGCTTTGTTAATTGGTTGGTGCCTGCCACGATCTCATAAACTCTCAAATGTGCCCATAGGCACAAAAAGGTTGGGGACCACTGATTTAGTGTATTCAAGGTACGTGCCTTGGATTCCTTGTGACTGCTCCTCGTAATTTGTTTCTTACTGCTTTCTTTTTAATACTGCAAGGAGATACATGCAGTTATTGATCTGTTATCAGTAAGGGCAGGGCTAGACAACATTATATGAACAGTTATCGCATTATGCAAATGAATCTGAAGACTTGTAACCTACAGAGATTTTTTTCAGAGCACATAAATAATGGCTTGTGATGTGACATTTTGATATACGTAGGTTATACTAATGCTTTGACATTTGAAGTATTATGACAGTGTCCTTTAACATTGATGTAGAAGGCAAAATATCAGATTGTTAATGTTTCAGAGTCTGAACAGTGAGATCACATTTATCATTGAAATATCATCCCAACATTATTAGAACAGACATGACAAAAAGGTTATTTCAATGTGATATTATGTATTTTTTTAATATGATAAAACTTCAAGAAGAATTATGTTCTGTAAATTGATGACTTTTGTTACTCGTAGCAGTGTTGAAGCTGGACTGACTTTTTAAACTGCATAATTTTTGTATTTATTTTTTTGCATATGCTTGTTACAAGGTCTTTGAAGTAAATTATATGTGCCATAGAGAAATTTGAATGTTGTGAGTTTAGGTCAGTCTACAGAAGTAAGAATGTAGAACTTATTTCTTTTGAAATTATAAACAACTGTAAGCATTAGAGTGACTGAAATGTAACTAAACAAACTGAACAGCATCAGGGCCTTGATGATGGAGGCAGCAATGTCCTCTGAAACGTTGGTGATCTTCTACCAGACTGTATGGCTCTACAACCCAGAAGATGGCCATCTTTGATAAAAACCAGTCCACCAGCTCTCAACTTATGAGATGAATAATATTCCTTTTGTTTGTCTTGTAACTACAAACCACAACGGAGTAAGTGTATTGGGCATGAAAATTTTGCTTCATTTTCCTCAACCAGTTGTGTTCAAACTACGTGCTGGGTGATTGGGGTTCAATTCTTGGCAGGTAATGATTTTTCCCTTTGTCACATCTAGACCAGAACTGGAACCCATCGAGCATCTTATCCAGTGTGTAGTGGTGCAGTTACCTCAGGGGTAAGCGGCTAGGGCATGAAGATCCGCTGGTGCCGAGGTTAAGAAAGTTTATCTTTACTCCCCGTATGACTGCACGTTATTTTGCTCAGTAGAGCACTGGGAACAATTTTGTGTTTTTCTCTATGAATGCATCGCGTCACCTGATGCGTGAATGTAATATTCTTGCAGGCCACCTCCTTGAACACGAGTGGGACTTCTGGGGGAGCAGAGAAGGGTACAGGATACTCACTACATCAGTTGCAAGGTGATAAGCAACATGGCGTTACTCGTACTGGCCATCTTCTGAAGAAATCTGAAGGGAAGATGAGGAGAGTCTGGCAGAAACGGAGGTGTCGGGTCCAAGCCGAGGGCTTTCTGGATATCTGCCATGCAGATGAGACCAAACCTCCAACTCGTGTCAACCTCCTCACATGTCAGATCAAACTTGTTCCTGATGACAAGAGATGTTTTGATCTCATATCCTGTGAGTTTGACTTTCTTTAATACCTATGTAGTTTTCTTTGTCTGCCTTGTTGAGAACCACAGGAAGCAAGAAACATGAACAGATATAACTTGTAAATTTTTTCTGACTAGTTGTTTGGTAAACGATTGATCAGATCTTTTGCATTCGTCAGATACTAGAGAAAAAATGGGAGTTCGGTGGGACCGTACATCAGTTATTTATAGATTTCAAAAAAGCCTATGACTCTGTGAAGAGAAAAGTGTTATATAATATTCTTATTGAATTTGGTATACCAAAGAAGCTAGTGAGTCTAATAAAAATGTGCTTAAATGAAACCTGTTTCGGCTAGAGAGGAGACGTTTGCTAACTGTCAACGTGTATCCCAGCTACTCGCTTTCTCTCTATAAATTTCTCAAAAATTAATAATTTTGAATTTATAAAAATGTACGTATGGGAGATATTTTGTCTTAAAATGAGATATTTCAAAAGGGCCTAAATAAGTTTTAGAATTGTCTTTGTTGTGACGATAAGATAACAAATATGGCGACTAGTTTCTATTAGTAATTCCAGCATTCAATAACACTGCCTGTAGCTAATCATATGAGGTAACAGAGTGAATTGAGAACTTTCATTTCTTTTTAAAATAAAACTTGTGAACTTAGCGAATTCAAGTAACTCGGCTGGCACCATAACACATATTTTCGGACACTGAGTGATCCTCCACTAATTGAACACAATTATTTTGGATTAAAGTCTTATCTTCTAATACCGATATCTGTAATAGTCTGTACTATGTTCAAAACAAAAATTAGGAAGCCAATTATTGTAATCAATCTCTTACATTTGGCAATTATTAGAATTACCTTCAATCACGTAAACACAATATTTTCAGGGTGATTAAGTCAAAATGAATGAAATAGACGGGGAATGTAGCACGCATGGATGGGCCAAGGGGTGTGCATTGGGTATTGGTTGGAAAGCCTGAGGGGAAGAGACCGCTGGGGAGACCTAGACGTAGATGGGAGGATAATCTCAGGCGGGATCTATGGGAGATAGGAGTTGAAGGAAACTGGATTTTGTTGGCCCAGGACAGGGTCCAGTGGAGGGCTTTGGTTAATTTGGTGATGAACCTTTGGGTTCGGTAAGCCATCTAGTTAGTTAGTTAGTTGTTTGTTACACTGCTAGTATGGCAAGCATTGTCCCTTATCTCGTGTGTATACATTCATACCTCGGAGATATTGCCGGTTCGGTTCCAGACCACCGCAATAAAGCGAGTCTCGCAAATGTTTTGGTTTCCCAGTGCATACAAAAGTTATGTTTAGACTATACTATAGTCTGTTAAGTGTGTAATAGCATTATGTCTGGAAAAACAATGCGAGAACATTGCGAGAATTACCAAAATGTGACACAGAGACACGAAGTGAGCACATGCTGTTGGAAAAATGGCGCTGATAGACTTGCCCGACGCAGGGTTGCCACAAACCTTCAATTTGTAAAAAAAAAAGCAATATCTGTGAAGCACAATCAAGCGAAGCGCACTAAAACGAGGTATGCCTGTATATTATACATATTGTTTGAGGAGTTGTCTGTGCTCCTGTATGTATATTGCTTGGTTATCCTTATACAGATTTGATTTTGTGTTAGTGGCAGAGATTTGGATCAGTTACAAATACTGAATATAAAACTTTTATGTGCATTGATATCTTGGTTAGCCTACAGATTTACTTTTCAAAGAGTTCTGGGTTTAATCCTGGCTGCTCTTGTAAATATTGAAAATAAAAACAATATTCATTACTATTACTTATCCTTCATTAATAATGTCAAAAATTACTATAGTAAAAGGGGTGTCTGTCAATCAAATGGCAATGATGGATGAGGGTAACTCTCAAAAAGTCATGAATTACATTGAACAATGTTTGGAGAAGCATACTCTTTTCCCTTTTAAAAAAATAATTTCCTGAATGGAAAAGACATTTGTCAAATTATTGTTATTGGAAAAATTATTTTAAATTGTATCCTAGGGAAAAAGTTTGTAAAGGGGGTGTTAATATATTGAAGAGAGATACCTAACCCTTACGTATGAACATTGTATTGAGATGTAGCATCAATTTGAGGTGAAATTTGTGTTTGCAGACAACAGAACATACCATTTTCAAGCAGAAGATGAAGCCGACCAGCGAGCATGGATGTCAGTGCTGGTGAATTGCAAGGAGGGAGCACTTATGAGAGCGTTTGATGATAGTGGAAAGTCTGGTGGTGGTAAACTAAATCCTAGTCTCCTTGAACTCCAGCAGGCTATTATACGCTATGTACAGAAATTACCTGGTAATGACAGATGCTGTGATTGCAATTCACAGAATGGTGAGAAGTATATGATGTACTTTCTTCTAATATTGTGTATGGTATAAGTCTAGCCATGAGCCGGGATAGCTCAGTCAGTATAGTGACAAGCTATGGGCTGGACGACCGGGGTTCGATCCCCGACGGGGGCAGAGGATTAGCCTCTGCGTCCAGACCGGCTCGGCTCTGGGGCCCACCCAGCCTCCTCTACAATGGATACCGGGGTCCTTTCCCGGGGGTAAAGCCGGCCAGGGCGTGATGCCGACCACTAACCCCCATATAGTGCTGAGGTCAAGGAAGAGAGGAGCTATACATCCACTCACCCCAAATGCCTACATGGCGTATAGTGAGACAAACTTTACTTTACTTTATAAGTCTAGCCAATCTTAGAGTAATACCGTCAAAAATTCAGAACTAATCTACGCACGTGAAAGATTTAACACGTGAGTTTTCAGGAATGTCCTGGGACCATTTATTGCCATTTACATTTTTACTTTGCACAGTAACCAGCTTGACATTGAAGATGGCTGTCGTCTTGGTTGTTGCATGATGTAGTCTGGTAGAAGTTTGACATTTCAGAGATCTTGCTTCCTCCATCATCAGGGCAATGAGTCATCACCCTGATGATGGAGGCACAACAGGATACCAAAATATTACACTTTTTGTATTTAATCTTCTTTGTCTTTGGTGTTCCTGAACCATCGTATTTTACCATGCCCTATGCCTTTTTTTAATCTGTGGATTATAGGAGATATGAGAAAATTGTATCTGAAGACCTGAAGTAAGATACCACCGGGAGAGACATTTGTACCTAAAGAAAGACAATATAAAAACTGATTTACATAAATATGGTATCTGATTGTGGACTAGATTAAACTAGCTCAGTGTAAGATCCAGTATCAGGCTTTGGTGAACATGGCAGGGAATGTTTGGTTTACATAAAAAGGTGGATAGTTTGTTAATCAGCTGTGTGTCTATTAGCTTCTCATAAGCTGTGTTTCATGAATTTAGCTTGTCCTAATTTTAGTTGTAGCTCCATCTGTGTCTTTTATATTAAACAGTGCACAGCTACAAATGATAAGATGCTTTTTTTATAATGCTACTACACAGATTACTTTAGTAAATTATGCAAAAATAATTTTAAAGCAAAACAAATATTCACAGATATCAGACAATTTAGATTTCTGTCTTCTGGGTTGTTGCGCTATGTAGTATGGTCGATGTTAACCAACGTTTCAGAGGTCATACTCCCTCCGTCATCAGGGCGATTGAATCGCCCTGATGACGGAGGCACACAGCGCAACAACCCAGAAGACAGAAATCTTCATACTCACTGCTGTGAAAACCTCAAATCTTACATCAGACAATTTAGTTTAATGTAAAGATTACAGAAGTGACTATATGGAAAAATGTATCTGTCTTATTTTAGATGCAACGTGGTTATCAACAAATTTTGGAATTATCGTTTGTATCGAGTGTTCAGGGATCCACCGTGACCTTGGCGTTCATATTTCTCGTATTCAGTCACTCACTCTAGACAATGTTGGTACATCACAGCTCCTGCTGGCTCGACATATGACTAACAATGCATTTAATGATATCATGGAATATATGCTTCATGTATCAAAACTTACACCTGCAGTACATGTCACAAAGCTCTCTCCAAATAGTACGATGTGAGTATGGAATTGCAATTATCAAAACATTAGCCTTATAGTGAGTACATGACCAATGTATACAGTTTATATCTTGGTTGGTTTGATGGCTGAAGTTTGTGAACAGGGTTATTAGAGATTTGAGTATTGATATGGTACAAGTTATAAGTGCATCTATAAAGTATGATTGAAGGTTTTTATTCATACATTGATGGTTTTAAAATGAGGCAATATTAAGTATTTAAGATTTATATAGCAACATACATCTTTTTATTTACATGTTCAAACTTTCGTATCTCATAAAATAGATGCCTACACTAGGCAGCCACTCTGAAGGAATACATACTCCTGTGTGAACTATGTAAAGTAACATAAATTTGTCTCTTAGCCACCATAATTATTTGAAGGGTGAAACAGCTCTTGCCTGTTGTAAAGTTTACCTTTTCTTAATTTATTTTAAATCTTTCGGGAACAGTACTCATTTCTCATGTTGCCTAACATGTCAGCTTCCAGTAGTTTTATCAGCTGTTGACAACTACCAATATTTAAATGAACTTATATATTTTAAATGTGGCATGACAGATTTATTACTTTCTCATTTTGTTATTAGGTGAGTAGTTGGGGTCAGACATATTTCATTTTTTATTTCCATATGATGGTTGAATATGTTACACAAATTAGAATACTTCTGAAAAATTGTTTCCTCTTATTGACAGGGAAGAAAGATACGAGTTTATTCGTGCAAAATATGTGGAGAAGAAATTCGCTTCTCACACTTGTTCTGATGAGCGAGACCTTCTCAGTGATCTGGAGCATGCTGTTAACAATAAGAACCTGTATCATCTGCTGCAAGTTTTTGCAGAGGGTGTTGACCTATCAGCTCCTCTGCCAACAAGTGTAAGTAGCATTTATTGCAAGGTAGGTGAATGGACGTGCATGACGACACACATCACCTACATTATTCAAATTAAAGATGTTATAATAAGTTTAACATTTAACTGGGGTGGTGAATGTAAGAAATGCTTACTGAATTTTATGAGGAAACTTTACAAACTTAAGTACTTCTGTCTGTCAGTTTATGTAACATTGATAACTACTTGTACCACCTGCTGTAACTTTCAGTAACTTGGCATGTAGCACATACTACATTTTTTTTGCAAAATAAACACAAAACCTTATCCTAAATATCATTACAAGATATATAATTATAACGTTGATATTGTATGTTTTCTTGGAGGTAGGAATGCCATTTTCAGACATTATTCACAAGAGATTTGCACTATAGAGGGTTAATGAATCTGAGATAAGGAAATTTTGTTCATGTTGCAGGACATTGGAGAGACTGCTCTCCATTTGGCTGTGGTACGTGAGATGGGAAACTCATTGCATCTGGTGGACTTCCTGGTTCAGAACATGCCAACACAGGTGTTGGACAAGGCAACACTAGCTCCATCGGACAGTACTGGCTCTGGTAGCAATACAGCTCTTCACTTGTGTGCACTGCATGACAAGGCAGAGTGCATGAAACTGCTCTTGCGAAGTGGGGCCGACCCAAAGTTACGCAATGCTCTGGACAAAACGCCACTAGATATCGCCCAGGAGCGAGGACACCACACTTGTGAAGAACTGGTGAGTCGTCTGTGTTTGGTCCAGATGAAGCAGCGGCGCCTCCACCATGTATGATTCTTCAGTGTGTCTTATGAATGTTACATTGTGTTTCAGCTAAGACATGCACTGCAGAGGCAGAAGAATCATTTTGATAATGTGAATATAGACTGGAATCTGTCTCATGATGAAGGTTCAACAGACTTTTCAGATGATGAAACCATTATTGAAGACAGGGTAAGGTAATCCACTTAAATTACACTTGGGGCACAAATTAAGTAAACATTTAGAAAATGGCATTCTTTTTCAGTTAGTAAAGTGACTGACTACGAATTTGATAACTGGGACTTTGATGCTCAGCAGGGGAAGGTATTTTTTTTTATAACTGTGTTTGTACCAGCTCTTGTCCCATTGTAACTCCTTGTGGTACCAAAATTGGGAACATATGGAACTTCATTTTTATACCTCCACCTTATGATCTAGCAGATTCAAGATCTAACAACATTGGTCTTTAAAATTAACTTCTGTAAAACTTATAATTCATACACATTGATACATTGACAGTCTGGTAATATTTTTGTATTTCTTTTAGAGCTGCACCGTTTCTGCATTAAACTCTTCTAATTTTGCCAGACTAATTTAGTTCTGATTTGCTTCAGAATGGATCTATAACACCTGAGAAGAAGTCAAGGTCTCGTCCACCAAGCTATGCAGGAGGAGAATCTCCTGTGAATCCTAGATCTCGATCATCAACTTCAGATAGTCTGAAATCAGGTTCAAGTCCAAATAGTAACTACAGGCAAATGCCTCCTCCACCACCTCCAAAGGAAAAGAAACCTTCCACAGCAGGTAAGTTATTTGAAGCAAGCGATATAAACTGTAGTTCAAACAAATGCTACTTGTCAAAAAAATGCCTCTACTCCTGAGAATGTTAATTAAAACCAACTTAATGTTGCCTATAAGTGACAGCTGTTTAATGGGGGAAACAAAACAAGAATATAATGATGGGTAATTTGCTAGAATGTCTATTTTCATTTCATATAATTTTATACAGTACTGTTGTCTTTTTAGAAAAATACAGAGATAATATAATTTGTCTCTTTATGGTGTAGTTCAGATGTTCCTGTTGATTAACTTTGTATATAACAGAGTTTGTTTTTTTGTGTAGCATAGTAGATCTCTTGTTAATCAACTCTGTTAATAAAAGATTTGTGTCTGCAGTAAATATACATGAAGGATGGAGTGTCACAAAAATGCAATATATGAAATTACTCATCACCATGATGATGGAAGCAATAAGCTTCTCTGTAATGTTGGTCAGCATCTAACAGACTACATAGTGCAAAATCCCAGAAAACAGCTGTCTTTATCTGACGTCACTTACAGCGGGAGTGTGCATTATTTGCCCAGCGGGTGATTTTTTATTTCTAGGCTCTGGTAGCATAAAGAAGCGAGCAGCACCCCTTCCTCCAGGATCATATAACATGTATGGCACTCTACCAAACAGCCATAGTAGAACACCATCGGATCCAATTGTGCCCAACAGTCACATGGGCTACCACACTCTTAACCACCATAAGCGTTCACCATCAAGTGACTCGAGTGCTGTGAGTTCGGGTATTGTGCGGACAGGGACTGCAGCTTCTGTACATTTACGTAAGTCTGCTGCAATGAGATTGCAGAGCCTAAAAGTATATGAACATACATGTGATTCTATTTTTTGAGACTTTAACTGAGCATTCTAATGTGTGTATGTTTGTGCATAATCATTTATATTTAAAATGTCTAGTTAATTATGAGTGATATTTAGCCTTTTGAGGTCCTAATTTTGTACCAGAGGACACCCCAGTAAGTGTGAGTTATTGATTTATTTATGTATTTATTTACTTATTTTGTTGTTGATTTATTTATTTATTTTGAATTTCAATACTGGTGGACAGTTGTGTTAAACATTACCATGTTTTGCGGAGTCTCATTATGTGCATAAATTATTATTTTTCTCCCTATTATATACAATCAGGAAATTATATATGTTCTGTAAAGCAGTGGTATAGGAATGAATCCTGTTTATGAATGGGTAACTGACATGAAGTAAGAACAGTTTTAACAGTCTTGTATTTTATATTGCAGCTCCTGGCGCGAAGCTAGTCATACCTGCCGGAGAGCCACCATCCCTTAAGACAACTTCAACAGCATTTGATAAATCATGTAGTGGTAGTATATCAGGATCTGGAAGCATACAGCGACCACGTGGTCCTCCTCCTCCAACCCCCAGCCCAATGCAAGGTGTTCGTCTCTCAAACGGTCGCTCAACGGAGAGTATATCTTCCATGTCATCTGATGTGGAGTCTACAAGTAGTCTACATAATCCTGTTCCACCTCCAAGAAAGGTAAGGATCTAGTGTGTTAATGGATGTAATTATGCCATTTACTAGATTCAGTTACTGGTTACACTTGGAAGGTTTAGCAAAGACATGAAATGGCAGGCTTTAATGTTAATGGTTTGAACCTTTGGTTTCTGAGACCAGAGACTTGGCTGGATTGTTTGACTTATCTTTCTTCTCCTTGTCCATCCTGTGGTGCATTCTTGTTTCTTAAATAATTACTAAAAGATTACTAATATAAGAGTATTGTCAGGTTGGTATGTAACAGACAGAAAAGTAATCATAATTAACTTGTGTAATGAGATTTGTAGAAAAGAAAGTTGTAGTGTTTACCACAAACTATTTAGTCATTAAAAGGAAACACAAAACAAAGTTTCTAGTTGTAAAATAAGCTGTAGTAAAATATATTGGGAGCCGGGGCAGCTCAGTCAGTAGTGACTGACTATGGACTGGATGTCCGGGGTTTGATCGCCGCCAAGGGCAGAGGATTTTTCCTCTAAGTTCTGTGTCCAGACCAGCTCTGGGGCCTACCCAACCTACTGTCTAGTTGGTTACTTTGTATATATAAGAGCTTTATTTCTTTTTAAGTAAAATATATTGCTAACAAAAGTTTGTGGATTACTGGTTGGTGGTGAAAAAAGAGTCTAGTAGATAGCACACAAGTTTTATTATTCAGAAGGTTTCATCCAAGCAACTGACACGTTTACTGTAAATAAAAATCATTACCTATTAGTATTATGAAACCTAATAACCTAAAGATGAGAGTAAAGTCAGTTTCTGAAATGTTGTGTATATTAAATGTAAATTGAAGTATAAATATTGTCCAACATAATTGCAGAATAATGAATAAATTCTATCAGACTCCTTTAGAGAATGAAAATAAATTGGACCCAGTAGTGTCATAGGACAAAATATAGTAATCAGAAAAGATACAGTTTGTGTTATTGATGCATGATAATTTGTGGGTTTTGAATCTTTTAGTGCTTTCATCATGCTGCTTTGTAATTACACATTTACAGACAGAAGTCATGTGTGTCTGTATATGTATGTTTGCTTATAGCTTGAGAATGGATAACTGATTTGCACCAAACTTGGCATGCCCATTCCTTTAGACTAGAAAGATATTTTAAAAAGGTCAGAACTCTGGAGAAAATATTCGGAGTTAAGAGTCTATGTGAGGAGAGTTCCTGTAGCTCAGAAAGACAGAAGAATGTTCCCAAGACCAAAGCTGTTTCCAAGAGGAGATTACAGAAATGAAGGCCAAAACCCTGAAAACCTACCCTGTTCTTGAGTCCTGTGGAGATGGCTTTTGTAGCTTGGAAAGAAAGCATGATAAAAGAATAGCATAAGAAGCAAAATTGGTTGTTTTGACAAGGATGTTACAGGAACTAAGGTCACAAACCCGAAAACCGTCTTTGGTTTGAGTCTGTGTCAAGATGGTGGATTTGGGAATGATGATGTTCAGTAATATGTTTTGATTGCAGAGGCTTGTGATACACATAGTAACACTAGGAATTCTTCTGGTATTTTCAAATAACTAAAACATGGGTAGGTGAATACATGAATTTATTTTCTTAATTCATATAAGTTAATTTGTTCTATGTTTTTCCTGATTTATTTAATTCAGTTTCTTTCGTGTTCTTCTGTTTACCACTCTTACACTTATATTGAAGTGAACCATTTTTTAACTGTTTTACCATTATTGCTTCATATCACCCACTGCATGTTACCAAAACTTATAATACAAATTTATTTGAACATGTAATTCTTCATAACCATAAAAGAATATTAACTTGTAACTTCATTTTAACAGTATTGTTATCTCTTGTTTAGAGTTTTCCTTCCTCTTCTGAGCTGGAGTTTGAGCCCAGCATTAGTGTACAACCTGTAATGCAGATTTTAAGCTTTTTTCCTATAGTAGATGCCCTCCACCCTTACTGATACTTCACTGTTCTTCACGTATCTTGTGTATAAAATCCTTTCATCCAGTTCTCTCTCTCCATCTCTGGTCATGTTGCTATCAGACTATAATAATTTTTATATAACAAAAGTGATTTATATCGACTACATGGTATAATTTAGCATTTATTAAAAAACTGCATATGTCAGTGCTGTTGCACTGGTTTGTAGTCTTTTCATGTGTAATCACTGAGTGCTGCCATATAAATTATATCAGTCTGAATGTATATCCGTAAGACTGTCATAGTAAATAAGGAATTTTATTATTTCAGTGCTGTAATTGGTAATCACTAAAATTAGTATTGTGATGGACACATGGGTAGTTTGTGATGCGGTCCTACTATCTGTTGAAAATAAGAGTGTTTTATATCCATGCTTTGATATTAATTAAGTTTATTTCCAATTCTGTCATTCTGGTTTGAGACAGGTGTACCATACTGTGCTTAAATTTGGTTTCATTCCATTTATCGTTGAAGTGGTTACTTACACTCTGTATCACGGACACTAGTTACACTGTAATGCACATTTCTATTGAGTAATTAGTAAGCTTATTTGTTGCTTATGTCACTAACTAGTTGCACTTCTCAAACTAACCTGCTTACTCATATTTACAGAAGAAAGAAAGATCACAGCTAGAAAGTTATGCCGAAGAGAGTGACCTCATCATCTCCTTGGTAATGATGTTCCTCTGTATGTATGTCATGTGTGTGTGTCTTTCAGCCTGTTTGTTCTTACTGCATGCTTATTAATTTACTGTATTACCATAATAATTTTCCTGGCAACTGTGAAAAGAGTCAGCACAAAATGGAGGGAAAATGAGTTACATTAGGCTATTGCATTCCCTTTTAAGAATACTGCATCATGCTACTATTAGATGTCAGCACAGTTCATTAGCCTTGTGTGTCTGACTTTTTTTAAAAAAATTAATGTAATTCCTCCCCTGGCAATACAGACATGACCACCAGTAGTGGTGGGTGTTATAAATAATCACACGTGAGGATTAAATATCAGTTGAAATAACCATTTATACTTAAATGTTACCTTATTACATGGGGTCTCTGAAGATTGGCACTGAAAGGATTCAGTCTTATTTTGGTTTCCAATAAATTACACTCTTACATTTCAGTCTGCCTAAAGAGTCAGGCTAAGTTTATTCACATTAATCATACTGCAATAACAATGCAGCCCAGATTGAAATTTTAACTGGCCACTTCTAACATGGGTTTTAGTTTCCCTCTCTCTAATTTAGATGTTAGTTCTAATCCTGTAACGTGTGTGTGAATTTAACAAAACATCAAATACATTTTGACTCACTCAGAAAACTGAAGTCAGATCATTTGTGATCTCTTGAGATGAATGAAAGAATCTTAGGTACAACTATTAAATGTAGTAAATTTATCTGTCTTGCATTACTGATAATTTATGTGTGTGCATGCACGTATGTTACACATTTGGGATTTGAAGTGAATGCCCTGTCAGCTTTGTCTTACTGATTGATATTATTTTACATGAATTTGTGTCTTTAGGTATGGATTGTTTCATACTTTTACATTATATTTCTCTCTTCCCTTACATTGGTTGATTATTTTTTTTGCTAGATCAACTGCCATGGCTATGTTACAAGGAATGAAAGATGTATAAAAGTCTGAGGGTTTCTGGTAGTTTGTAGATGATCCTGTTTCCATTCTGGGGTGATATTTTATTGTTTTGGACTGACTTGCAAATCTCAATATAACTTTTATAAGAATATGATTATCTTCTGATATGTTGCACTGTGTAGTCTGGTAGAAGTTTGCTGACATTTCAGTTGTACTTGTTGCCATCATCATCAGGGCTGTGAGTGATCACCCTGATGTTAGAGGCAGTAAGCCCCTCTAAAATATCTTTTTTCTCCAGTGTAACTTTGCCAGTCACTAATGTCTTGTGATATGAAAGGGAATAGAATATAATTATTAATTTTTGTTTGAAACTAAATTTATAATGCAATAAATTAAAATGTTAAATTTAATATACACATGATTGCTTTCATCTTGTATAGTCCACATGCTTGAAAGGTGTATGGATATGATAAATCATTATGAATGATTAATTAGATGGGACTGGGAAGGAAGCTGTCTTTCCATGTCAGTAGATACCATAATGGAATTCACCAAAGACAGAAATATATTAAAATTTGTCCTGACTAACTTTAATGTTTGGAAAATTACCACTGTACAGGTTTTAGTTCCTAATTGGAATGTTTTATAAAAGTGTTTCAATTTTTATGGTTTACATGTTTCATGCCTACTTATATTTGTAGTCTATACATATAGAATTCTAATGTTGGCTACACTGACAGATAATTTCCTGGTTTTTCTCATTTATTCTATGTAATTGGAAGGGGAACTGGTGACAGTATGTCCATTAACCATTCATAAGAATATACCCCTGTTTAAAAATTCATAATAAATATGTTCCTTGGTATTGTCTCAGTGAACCTTGCAGAAGTTTTTGGGATGTAAAATTATAGAAGCAAAGAGTTGAACAGTTTGAGGAATTATGTTGACTCAAGTTCAGACATTTGTTACAGATTTTTCCACTTAGTGTTGTCATATTTTATTTGTTGTCTTGTGTGTTCTCTGTACTTTTCCACCTACTGACGCCCGAGCAGCCATATTTCTTCTGTCCTATGCAGCAACCACAGCCAGCTGTGATGGCAACAACAGTTCCAGTGACAGGTACCGTCAACTCCCCTGCAGGTGGCAGCACTGGCATGGTTGGTCTCCGTCGCTGCCGAGCGCTCTACGACTGTGAGGCGGATAATGAAGATGAGTTATCCTTCAGAGAGGGAGAGGTAATCATCGTCACTAATGAACAGACAGACGATGAGAACTGGATGGAGGGGGCAGTTGAAAGTGACCCATCCAGAAGAGGGATGTTTCCAATTAGCTTCGTGCATATGTTGGCAGACTGACTTCCTCACATGCTGCTTTATTATGTAGCAATGGGATGAAATACTCCAAAGGGAGGATGGATCTCCGGTAGCCTCACTTGCACACTTGTTGGCCAAAGTCTTCTCGTACAGAGCTGCTAGGTTGGCTGTAGCTAAAACCAATTAAGTTCCAGTACAGTATCGCTGTATAGTAAGAAAGGCAGACAGTAATTGAAGCTAGTTTGAGAAACTATGTCTCATGTTTTAAGGCCAGGAAAACTTGTGTTTGAGATTGATGATGTATATAGTAATTGAAATGCAAGAGTGATGAAAATGAATATAGATTCATATATATAAAGAGACTACAGAGTCAAGGGTTTGTAACCTCATTGTCAGAAGAGCTTAATATTTTATCTGTTATGGACATTAAAATATCCAGAATGGCTCCTTGGTTGCTTGTTCCATCTTTTGCTCTTGGGCATATTTTAGGAAAAGTGGCATCTTAAGAATAAACTATAACTCTTAATCTAATCCACATACCTGAGGAATATCTGACAAAGATTTATTACTGTTTATATTTACATGTTTTTACACTTACCATATCACTATTACTAAAACATGACTTGTACTTTTCATCACTTCAGTATGTGGGTTTCTAAAGCGTTCTTTTCATACTAACAAAACATTTTCACTGCTAACTGCAGGTTTACTCCTATTTCAATGATTTATACCCATCCTGGAATCAGTATCTTAAATTAGGTTCTCATTGATTTTCTTCATTTGCAGAACTTGTTACTTATGCATAACTGTACTTTGGTTTCAGTTTAATTTCATGCTATAAATATATGAAAAGTTATAACTTCAAAAGAGTATCTACAAAGGAACGTAGCTGGTAAAACAGAGGATCATTTGTTACTAATGATTATACAAAAACTATACAAATCTTGTATGTGTCAGGGCATTATAATGTGATGGTGGGTAAAGAATAGAATGCTGATCCTGAAAGTGGCCGACTGTGGCTTTTTATCGTTTGTTTATTATGGAGTCCTCGTGTTGGTAATAAATCAGTTCCTTGTTATATAATTTTATAGAATTTCAGTTCTGGATGAACTACATAGTTAATAGTCTAAACTTCTGATGATCTGCGGTAATGTATTAGCAAACACTAGTATAATGTAATATACAAAACATATACAAAGATAAGATACAAAGCTCTTCTCAGAAGGAGGGCCCGAAATTGTACAAATGAAGAAAGGTCGTGGAAGAGTCTGCGTATTTTTGTCACATAGTGATGAGGTGAAAGAAACAAATTGTACTGTTAAGTTGCCCCTTCTAAAAATTCTCTTTGTTTGTGTGACTCTGGGCCATTGTTCTTTTAAGTTTCCTGATTTTCACTTATTTCCATACTTTGTATATGACATTATTTATAATTATTGAGAGTCCAGCATAAGGACTGGTATTTTACTACCTCAAGTAGACTACAGACAGAGATTTCCTTTTCCTGTATCAGATTGCAAATAAAATATTCAGAAAATGTTTTTGCACAGTTCAGAAGATATGTAGCTTGATTTTTGTTAACTTCTCTTGCAAATACCTTTCTTCATCTTTCTTTGTACTCTTAAGACATTGTTTTGTGTAATAAAAACTACCTTTTATTGTAAGTAGATTTTAAGGAATCCAAATAGATTACAGACAACCTTATTGCAAGCATAATTTTAATGTTAAAATACTTTAGATTTATAGTTCCCAAATTTTAAAAGATAAGTGGACATATGTTCATTCATAATCCACTAAAGGTCAAATATGAATTATAACTCTCAAGTTCTGCTATTTGCCTTGCACATTTGTAATACTCTACAGTAACAGACCCCTTATTCACAAAGTGTGGAAACTAAGGCTTTTTGGCTGATGCTATATAGCCTGAGCTACCGAAAGCATTGTCAAATAAACTACAAATAATAATAACAACAACAACTCAGGCTTTATGTTGAGATATGCTTTATCTACTAAATTATATAAAATAAAAATTCTTCTATTTTCAGATGCATTTATTAATTGAAATTTATTCTCTTCATTTAACATTTCGTTATTATTAATGTCTAATCGTTTCTAAACTTACAAGCATAGGAAAATGCAGCCACAAAAGATTAATGGGGGGGGGCAATATGGATTTTAGGTTGCCAGATATGGGGTCCCACTATATAATTTGAGTTTAAATAGTGCAATTTTTTTTATAAAAATCTTAAATTTATTATACAGGTGCTTTGTTTTAATATGAAGTACGAGGTAAAGAAGATTACAAAGTGAACTCTGTTTTTTCAAAATGACATTCTCTCTCCTCCTCATTTGCTCATACATGAAATGCAATACCACAGGTATGTCTTCATGGTTTAGTCATTAGTTAAGCACAAGTAAAACTTTTCCTTTTTCTTTAAAATATAAAGTTATATGAAAATGGAGTTAGAGCTCGTGTGACCAAAGACAAAAAAAGGATTCCCTCCACCAAAGGAAGAAAAAATATGGAATGGCATTCCAAAAATCTCCTTTGAATTATTGGCTGCCTTTCTGAATTTAGGTTGTTTCAAGTGAGTTATTTAAAATTTGTGGCATTTTTGTGCAGAAGTTGAAAGTGGCAAAAATTGGTCTAGGACTGTTGGTTCCCAAACTGTGATTTGTGAACCCCCTGTGTATATACAATGTATGTAAAGGGGTTTGCCAATAGAAGTGTGAGTGCCAATCTGATTCATTTCATCATCATTTTAAGGTAAACTTGCAAAATGAATCATGGATCTGCTGCTGTATTTGCTTTAGTGTTTTTTTTTCTGTAATGTGCTTCAGTTGCATTGTTAGATACATTAACTTCTTTCTGTTTCATAAGGGAAATTCTGAAACACTTGTTAAAGGTTGGCAGACTTGGTCAAGTGGATGTGGGAAATGAAAGAAATTTAATTTTTAATGGGTATTTGAATATTCAGATTTGTTAAGTGATTCCTGAAGCACTGAAGTTTGGGAACCACTGGTCTGAGAATAAATGTAGAACAGTGTCTTTTTGTGCAGTTCTTTGATGTGATATTCTTTGAGGACTAATACTGAAATTACAATTCTGGACACATCATGCTGTAATGGTAGCTTGATATTAGTGAAGTTATAATAGTACCCCTGTCACTGATATCTTGAACTTTTATTCCTTAACCAGTATTGGCCATGTGTTAATGCGAGTTTTCAAGCTGGCCTCGTGTCACAGTAGCATCCCTCTAAACCAGCATTTCTCAACCTATGGTATGCATACCACTGGTGGTACACTAGCCAATGTTGAGTGGTACGCGAACTAAGTAAGAAAATCAAAAGATAATATTAACATAAGTAAGTTTTCCCTGAATGCATTTGGTAAGCCAGTGAAAAAGGGTGAGAACCCCTGCTCTAAACCAGTGTGCTGCTACAGGGTTTTAGGTGTGCTGTGAATTGGCATGTTATAGTTAGAAAAAGGCATTCATGTGCACGCATACATGCACACTGGTTCATCATCAATAATTTTGTTCAATACGTTATGTTTTCATATGTCTGCATTCTTAAAGGGGCAAGGATTTATATGTTGATACATGTTTATGGCCATGTATAGTTTTGTAACCCCCTTCTTGTGAGGTGAAATTTTGTGGCATGTCTGACAAATTAGGGTGTGCCACACTTGTGGAAAAATCTTGCAGAACACTGATCAAACCATTAAACTCTATGGTTAAATCTGACTAGCAGCCCTGAAGGATAGAGATGTAAATCCTCTCCTCTGTATGTTAATGTTTCAGGCTGTGCTCTGGACAGAGAACAGTACCAGTGCTGCTTTCCTTATTTTACAATGACAGGTTGGCATACAGCATCATCATGCCCATGTGTCCATCTCTCTGTCCTTTTTTTATCCAGTTGACAAAAGTAATGAATATTGTGCCTTCTTTTTTAATTTTTAATGCCCTGCCATATGTAATTGATTCCTAGCAGCCATGGAAACTTCTGAGGTGGGTGCTAGACTAGTTGCATTTAATTTATGTTAACAATTTACTTGGTGATACTGCAAACTTTGAGGTTACAGAGGTCATTTTAATGTAGTTGGAATTGTTGGAATTTACACTAGTGGAAATTATGCACAGAATGGCTTACTAAATTGTATTATTAAAAAATTTTAGTTCTGGTAACCTTACTGTATGGGCCTACAGTGAAGATTCTAAACAAGGTTAGACTTTGCAAGTTTTTCTTATGTCCAAAACGGTTTTGAAACTGGTATTTAAGGAACATGCATTGCCTACTTTCTTTAAAATGGTTTCATCTATATACATATATATCACTCTTCTTAGTCACTATATAAGAGAATCAGTATTACCTCTCCCCTTCCATCCCCAAATATAATTTTCAGTAATGTAGGCTCCCATTGCTTGAGAACTATCAGACTCTCATCATGTCTATAATTATTAACTTCCAGAATATTTTTCTTAAAAAATTGTAGCTATATTTGTACCAAATTTTACATTTGTAGCTGTGGTGTTTCTCTAATTGCTGTTATCAAATAGAAAACTAAATAGGAATTTGCAGTGTTACCATATATTTATTGAGAGAAGAAAAAATTACCTTATTAGTTACTGATAGGGTTCCAGAAGTACTCATCGAGGTGGTATCAGTGTAAGTGGTACAGATAAAAATATTTGTGTGAAGCATACTGCAGCCTACTGAAGTGGATTTGTTAAGAATCTGGTGTTTTTGAGATGTATTTCTGGAGATGTGATTGGTAATTTTAATAAGGTTGTGTAAATAGCAGAGACAGCATAGTAAAGTGACTGGCTCTGGTTGGAGTTCAATTTTCATCTGGGGCAAACATTTTTCTCTTTGCCACTACTGTGTCCAGATCAACTCTGGAGTCCACTCAGCCTCCTAATAAATGGGTACTGGTGGGAGCTCTCTGCCCAGGAATAAAGCAGCTGGAATTTGTCATCTGTTGCAGAGGTTAGAATGACTGGAGGTTTTCCTTTGCATCTTTTAGGTTCATGACATCTTTTTATGCACAGGGATGCCATTTTTTATTCTCGTATTTGAGGTATTTTTAACATTTTTAAGATTGTGAACAGAATTGTAACTTCATGGTTCAGTTTAAGTACAGTAACAACAGAGAGTTGAGACATTTTGCTGGTTTAATAGTTGTTTTGTTAGTACAGGTGATTTCTTGTTGAAACTGTCATTACCATAGCTTAAAATTTCAGTGTTTCCATGCAGTATGGTAGTTTTTAAACATTACGTCTCCTTAGGGAGTTGGGTACAACTCATTTTGATGATGCTGTTTTTTTGCTGGTGATCCAGCAGGACAGCTCAGTGGTAAAGTAGCTGCCTGTGGGCTGAACAAATGATGTTTCAGTTCTGAAAGGAGAGCAGACTTATTTTGCAACTATGTGCAGGTCTTTTCTAGCAACTGCACAGCTTCCAGTGGTTGTATAGGGGTAAAATTCCTGAAAAATATGGCTGATCATGTCTGTTAAGTGTAATATTTATCTCCACATCCCCGTCTACTTGTGTGGTACTTTGGCATAGGGACATTATTGCTTCACTGACATGCTTCAGTACAAGCGGAGGTATAGCTCCTCTTTCTTGACCTCAGCACCAGATGGGGGTGAGTGGTCAGCATCACGCCCCGAAACTAATAGTACGACAGCATTAATAAAACATCCATTGATGATGAATGATATGCTTGCCAAGTTTGTGCAAAAGTAATCTTACAACATTGTGGTCTTCTTGCTCTGTCTCTTTATGACGCACTATCTATTCACCTGTCTTCTTTTATGGTTAAAACAGCCAGTATAGATACAGTACTTCACTAAGACCTTTCATGATAATTTGTAACTATAGTTGGTAACACCAGATGTCTCAAGGTCTACTGGCCTGGCTCGTGATGTAGGGTCACATTGACAGTGTTGAATAATTACTTTGAAATTGCAAGTTATGGTAATGTCTGGAACATTATAATCAACTAGGCATCTCTTTTTACTGTGAACCGAAGAGGCTTCTCATGTAGTATTTGAAACTACATATTAATTGTTACCATAGTGGAATTCGAAGTTCTCACAGCATTGAGCACAAAGACAGCCATCTTCTTAATTGTTACCATACTTTGCTACTGATAACTGAAACTAGAATGGTACATAGAAGAATCATGTCTAGTATGTATGAATAAGTTAAAGTAATATATTGCTTGAAAATAATGGACTCAGTTTGTAATGTTGCAGTGAAGCATTCTTCTAAGGTGAAAACATGTCAAAATATGTGTTTTGTAACTGACTAGTCTGTTAGGTTGATGTAAGCCATGGAAATGAAATTCCATTAATAACAAAATATGACTAGTCAAGTAAGAACTGTACTGTATAGGTTGCTTTCCATTAATGCTTGTTGAAGATTTGTAGCTTGTACCTCTGAAAACTGAAGCCAAGATAAGGAATGCTGTTCATCTGTGAAATTAAGTACCTTAAAGATGCTTTCATTATGTTGGTCAGAGCCACACAAGTGTTCTGTGTATATATGAGTATGAATGTGAATATATTTGTTTACACTCTCTATTTCTGAACAGTACTCTCCATATATGAGACTAGCATTTGTATTTGTAAGATTCATACTTTGTTTACAGTATTTAAAGTTCCCCACAATATATTATTATTATTTATCATTTTTGAATCACTTGTTGCTCGTACGCAAGATGGCAAAATATGGACTTCATAAGTTTTTACTTTTTCACATGTAATGTAGAATATTGTTCCCAGCATTTTTGGTATGATGACACACACATCCATATTTGCTTGGTGTGATGACCTGTCAATTTACTGTTGCATGAATTTTGAACCTTTGTTTATCAGTAGTCATTCTTATGTACATTTTAAATTTCCATTATTAGAGGCATACAGGCAAAAAGTTATTGAACATATCTATTAATATGAAATTTATTAATGTACCTACAGTACTTACAGAATTATTCAGTTTTCTTTGTGTGGAAGCAAACACACCAACCATCTGATTGTGGGATATTTTATCAGGTATAGAAATTTATTTTAATAACACATTTAGACAGGCAGTGTTGGATATAGTGAATTAAGAATATTTTGAGTTGTTTTAGTCACAAGCTTATTTTAACAAGTATCGGTATGATGGCTGAGCATGAACTTTGCCATATAATATTAGTACATAGCCTGCCTCTGTGTTTTGTCCTCCTAGTGACTGCTGGAGACAGTCTGTTTCTATGTAGTATAAAATGGCAGCAGGACAGGTATTGCTTCAGTAGCAAATTCAGGATATTCAGTGGTAACAAGAAGCCAAAATTTTGTTAACTTTACTTCCAAACATAACCTTTGATGATTCTATTACATGAATATTCAGTGAGTGTTTTGTACACACAAAGAGAACTTTGTGATATCAGCCAAAAATGTATTTTGCCCCTACCGCAACTTCTCAGTTTCTTTGACATATAAAGTAGTAAATGTATGTTCCATTTAGTGAATCAAAATGGCTGAAAATTCCTTTCTTAATGTTAGTTTTATTCTCATCTGCTTTATTCTCAAGTGAAATTCTGTTAAACATGGAAAAACACCAATAATTATTATTCATTGCCAGATCCATAATCACCAGGCGTCCATTGAGTGAACTGGCTATGATGATGATGATGATGATAATTTACACAGAATTGGTAAGTCTTCATGTTGGGTGAATTAGCATTAAGATACAGCATTGGGAACAGAATTTTTTTACTTACTGTGCCAACCCTGAATTTAGACTAGTCATCAGTTCTGCTGCTTCTTCTGTGTTGACACCAACACATTTAAACCAATCCAAACCACTTTGTTAGAAACTTGCCCAACACTCAGAAAATTTGTTCTCTTGTGGTTCAAGTAGGCAGCCCTTCACTCAGTAAGGACTCTCTCATTCAATAACCATATTGTCAGATTTAGTGAAACCAACATAAACCACAAATACTGCGCAATTTGCAGCATCAATTGATTTGACTAACCTTATTGCTAACTTCTTACTATTTATCAGCATACTGATTAACTGTTCATTCACATCATCTGAAAGCAGAAATTTGATGACTGAAGAATGGCATGCATGTTACTGTATTCTCTGCTAAAGCTGTTTTTGCCATGTGTGCCATATCTGGTAAAGTTCTAAGGTGTAATAGTGCTAGGTTTCTTAGCTTTCACTATACATAAAGCTACCTCAGAAAGATTTTGTTGTATTTTGTCAAATGACACTGTTGCTGTTTCATTAGCTCATGTTTACATGAGAGAAATTTGATATGGTTTATCACAGTTTCACTGTGCTGTATTTTTCTAGTGTTCAACTTTGATGGCTTTGACTAGTGTTAGTCAGCACCTATGAACAAAATGCGCAAGTGCACATTGTTGTTTTGGCTTACATTCTGAACCAAAACAAAACTTTAAACCAGATACATATACATGTGTCTTTGAATTTTGCCATTGGTGCACATCTTTGCAGCTGGTTTGGCTGCCACATCTTTGTCAAAATCTGAATGCAAGTAACTGCTGACAGAAACTGAGCCATGCATTTGTTAAGGAGCTGTTTTATATTTCAAATATTTATTCATTATTACCAATCTGTAAGAGTAAATAAATTATTGATTTGATTAAACAATCTTCAAAACATAATATTTAGCAGTGGTAATTTCTGAAACTATTTAAAGCAATCATTATTTTGGATTTACTTAAAAATCCTGTGACTAACTTTCATGGGTGTTGTGACCTAAGGTTGGAAAAGACAGTCATAATATACTGTAATCCTCCATCGTACCAGAATCATTATTTTTATAGAAATGCAATTTTTTGTGTCTGCCATTACGTATCTTTACAATCTCCATTTACTCTGCTTAACAGCTGGGTATGAGGAAGTCAAAAGGGTTCCACTCCATATTTTACGTAAAGTGTGTCATAACATGTTTATAATACTACTACTTCCATAATAAGGATTAGACAGAAAATCGCATTCTGAACTTATTGGAATTGTTGCTTACACCTGTTCTTTGGTCAGCCCATGTCATGTGTTCCAATTGGCTCATAAAAGTTGGCGTACCACAGCAAGTGTTCAGAATACATTTTTTCAACATATTCTAGCCAGAGTTTAAATTTTATTCATAATACAAATAAAAAATGTACAAATTGGGGCAGTGCCTGCTATCTTCACTTGCCACAGTCATGTTTCTCCATAAAGAGCAAAAATTCAAGAAAACCTAAGAAATGTCAGTTAATATAGCCAAGGGTTCGGACTGGATATCTCCTCAATGGTAGAAAACACTCGGCTGCTTTGATTGTTACTTTTTAACTAAATTCCATTTAAGTAGGTTTCTTCAAGAAATTGTAAGTGATATTACAGAATGTTTTTGTTCACATGACAGTTTTATTCTGAAACCATTAGTTTAATAAGCAATTTATATATGGGCATGTAATGTACAGTAAATGGAAAATTTTGAGTCTGAATTTTCATGTGGAAAACATGTTGGCTATGGTAGGGATGGTTTTTGAAAATATACCATAAAATAAAATAACATCTAAGTACCAAACCTTTGGTTGAAGTGGTTGTAGATACTGCTCATTACTCAGGAGAGAATATCTGACCTTGGCAGTATGGATCTTTACTAGAAATTGACGTATTATAGTTGAGAAAACATTAAGCTGCAGTTCGGTCAAATTCTATATGCAAGTTAATTTAATTCCTTTTTGGTTATTTTCTATTTGTTTGTGGCACAAACTGTACACATTACAAATGGTGAGCAATCAAAAGAAGGGCAAAACCATTTATAATGGTGCTAGAGCGATAAATTATGTGAACCACAAATGTAAATAAGAAGTAGTAAAGAAAGTCCGATTTTGCCTATTTGCCATGCAGATGAAAGGGCAGCAAAGTATTTATGGAGTGTCAGTTGTAACAGTGAAACTTTAGATGGGAGAGGGGGGAGAGAAATTTTGTAGAGTTTAAGCCTTATATCCCCTCCCCCTTCCAACATCTGGCTGCACTGTCAAGGTCAAAGCTTTTATCCAGAGGAACAGACGGTGTGAAATAAGTCACTGGAAGATAAATTGTGACTAAATATCAAACATTGTAATCGTGTTTGTATGAAAAGGTATTTCTTCAAAAGTGAATTGCCTTGATGCTAGGCAGAAAAACTGGTTTTGGGGGTGAAACAAGTATGTTCAGGGGGTTGTAAAGAGTCCCTTATTTTGCTGTCTTGTCTGTTTCTTAAATGTCTCACAGTTGTCATGTACATGAATACTGACTTGGAAATGGTGGCAAAGAATAAAATCTTTATCCCAGGAAAATTGAATAACTAACTGTTAACCTTCTTAACTTTCTTCAATGCTCATCACACTTTAGCATGAGCAAAGAACATCCATGTCTGTCTGTCACATTTTTTTTTACAACAATGGGGTCAGACTCCAGTGTAGTCTAAGGGTTCCAGTTGTTGCCCAGTAATGACATGGATCACACAGGTGCAAGAATGACCCAGATGCAAATGACCTTGGGTCACATGAATGCAATGGCAAAAGTCATTTATCGGCCCATTACTACCTCAGTTCTTCACTAGCATTACATTCAGCGTGACGGTTAATTTGTTGTTTGGATCATTAAAATTTTAATCTTTTTAATGTGTTTTAAGGCCCTTCATCCAGAGTTTCCTGCATATTTAGGTCATGATTTCATTTGCTTTGTTTTTTAACATTAACCAGTCACATTATTAATGTTAGTACAATCAAGTGTTAACAAAGAGATGTGATAATTGGTTTCCTCCTATCCAAAGTCACCTGAAAGTCCTCTTAACCATAATTAGAAGTATCTGGTGTCCATTCAGGTTCCCTGACACTTGAAGTTAAGAGTTTCTGAAGTTATATTATGCTCATACTCGGTATGAACTATATAACATCACCAACATGATTACAAAAGAATTCATATATGAAGTGCAGGTTCAGAATTTAAATTTGCCCTGCAGTTTTCAAAGTGGACATTACATGGAATCATTATTCAGATTAGACAAGTTAAGAAAAAAGTGAATGGTGATTATCATTAATAAATTATTAAAAGGGTACGAATGGACATCATTTATTTGTAATTGTGGAATAGTTTCATAAGCAAAAATTGTATGTTTACAGATTTCAAAAACAGATTTGCGTCCTGGTGTTCCACAGTGTAGATTAATATAGTTAAAATATAAATCTGTGTACAGACTGTGATGTAGCTCAGATCTATGAATTAGACAGTCTTTCTTTGTCTTGTTATAAATAGCTAGAAACTGAAATTTAACTTACACAGCTCTCTGGTGCATATTAATTTTTCTTCATTATAAAAGTTCTGGTTTATATATGCCACAAAGTGAATATTTTAGTTCCTTGTTAATTTTAGATATTATAAAAATGTGCATACATTATTATTTAACCCTTTGAAGCCAAAGATTATCTAAGTAACATTAAAGATTCAGTTCCTACTGCAAAGAAAATCACTTCTCCATTAGAAAGACAAATTGATTAATATTATTAAAGGAAATAATGACTCTTTGACCCAGAAATAAACAGCAGAATACATGTGGTACATATAGTTATCAGTTTGCTTTAGAGGGTTAAATAGAAACACATTGAATTCTTATTTTTCTTTAATTCCTTTATTTGTTAAACGTGGTCACATTATTTAGTGTTTATATTTTTTGTGTATACCATTGTGCTGTAATTTTATTTGTATCAGTGGCCATAATACTTTGCAAAGATAGACATTTATTTGATAATGCAGTGTGTGCGTAGTTTACTCTCATAATGTTAGCGGCGCTGCTGTAAGAAATATGATTGTACTCAGCACAGTAAAATAATTTTTTTACTATAGTAAGGTAGAAACAAAAGTGAATTTTACATTGTATGAGTCTTCAGGGTATTACACTACAGCAAAATAATAACAATTACTGACATTGTGGAGGAACCTCCTGCCACCTCCTTCAGGGTAAGAGTGACCTGAATGTAGTGTCAAAGTTTTTGTACTGGGCTGTAACAGACAGTTCTACAAGCTTCTGTTAGCAACATTAATTACTGAAATTTGAGGTGAAGCACATGTGATGATATTGATTGTCTTCGGTGGTTACCAGTGTTTCAGAGAATGTTGGTAACCACATACAAGACTGCACAACCTAGAAGACCACAGTCAACAACATTAGTTGTGATCTGATCTCACATAGGGATTATCGTACAAGATCACAGCCAAGTTTACGCCATTCTTAGTGGTAATGATTTATGTTACTGCATAAACCATCTAACACTATTTTTTGTCACTTAAACCCCAAAAGAAGCAGGGAGTAACTCTAATCCATAAAAACTTTACACTGCGACAAGATGCAATACATACTCTACAATGAAAAATAAACTCCTTTAGTGTGACTTTGCATATCTTTGTGATTTACTATGTTTTGTGAATGGTAATTATGTTTCAGTTGTCAGGATTGAACAGAGTGAGCACAATGTAGCTTTATAAATTTTGAGTCATACAAAAATTTAATGTGATGATATTAAGTTACATAGCAAGGTACATTACATTATAATGACAACAGCATTTAAATTTGGCTGCCAGCTGTAACATGACTGACATGTCCTCTATGGTCACCCAGGTGGATGCTCTAAAAATAAAATGGGTTTTGTATGGTGATATCAATTAAATTACAGTCTCTTAAATGAAATTAAGATCTTAGGCACTTAGAGAGTGGTTTACAGTATAGGTTTCACTATAATTTATGCAATTACCAGATTGTGCTTTCATGAGAAGAAAAAGTGGGTTACATCATGAATTAAATGAAATTGAGCAATAATTAACTCTCAAGAAAGACTGTATAACACGGAGTATTAGAAGGGCTAGTGGAATAGAATATTAAATGCCAACAAAATATGCATAAATTAGTTCTGCCTTTTCAGCTCATTGTGACATACAATTAAGGTTCTAAATTGCACAGAACTTTAACTCTCATTCATTTATGAAATGAATGTCTGTAAATTTTTCCCAGCACTTATTACTGAAAATAGTTCTTTTAATGTGAGATTTGTGTATTGCTTGTAATGTAATGTTTAATGTGTCCTATTTGACTTAATATCTATTTAATTTAGGTATTACATTGTGTACCTTCTTTACATATAGACTAGTATATCACAAATAATGTAAGCAGTCATGTTAAAGGAGTTGTCTAAATTTATTAGAGGTTGCAAACAAAGTGTTGTGTTCCTTTTGACTCTGATATGGAATGTGTTCATTAAACAGTCAGTTGTATCTGTATCAGACAAAGGGTACTGCTTATTGAAATTAATCCAAAAGAATTTTTAGATTTGATTAGATCTTCTGACATAAACCATGGAAAGAAAATAATTTTGACCTTTCTTCTAAACTTGTAATTTTGTTTGCCACTTTCATGAAGGGTTATTTAAGTACTAATGGTTGTATCATATGTGTGAAAGTAATGAAATGAAGGATTCTTCATACCATTTCTAATTAGTTGGTAAGAATATAGAGAAAGCCACATTACTTAAAAAATAACCAAAGAAATTATGCCTATTGCTGGCAGAAAATATTCTCAATCTTTATTGTAAATGAATTGTATCATATTACATTTTTTAGTATGACATAAATGTACATAATATATAAAAATAGCTCTCACACAAAGTAACAATATTTTACCATATAAAAATATTGTATATAGAAAAAGATGTGCTGTATAGAATATAGAATTCTAGTATAAGTTCTTTTATGTTCAGTCTATTATTACAAATATAGAGTGATGATAATTTTGATATTTTATAGACGCAAACAAACGCAACATTAAGTATTGCCATTGAAAAAACATACTGTAGAAATAGGCACAAAAGCTTGATGTGTTAAAAACAATATGGAGTAAGAATAAATGCTACTAGTTTCAGCTCTATCCTTTGTGCATGCACATACCATAAAGCAAAAAGATAACTGAGTGCTTGGATTTGCATATTTCAGTTTTAAACAAATCCAATAATTTTAAACTAAATGAAAAGGATTCTTCCATTATAATACCAAGATATAATTAATTGTAATATAACCCATCTGCTGTGCATTCAATACAGTATTATGATACTCCAAGAAGTAAACTGATTTTTCTGTGAATATTTTGTCTGTAGCTGTATATATGAGTGTCTGAAACAACTATGGTACATAAAAAATAATTGCTATTATGGATAAACATTCTTTTTCAAAATAACCTTGCAGAATCTTTTGTTCTGATGGTGTATGTGTTCCAAAATTTGTGGTGATATTTGATTTTGAAAATTATAAGAAAAATATTTTGTTGCAAAAATGTAATACTGATAGTGTATTTAAATCTAGGCGGTTATGGAGTGAGCAAGGATGGAGAGAAGAAATACATATAGAATGTGACCATTTAGAAAATGGAAATTAGGGAAAAAGGCTGTGAGAATGGAAGTGGCTTAAGACCATGTTCATTGGTGGGTTTCAGTATTGCTGGTGTTAACACCTTTAAATTTGTCTTCCAAATGATTATGTTATTACATCCCCATCTGAAGCATCTTTTCATAAAGTGGCTGATATTTGGTCAGTGGTACAATTATAAACATTTTTCTCTTTATTCTTCTTTTCTCTCTCTCTCTTTTAAAAAAAGATTGCTGTCAGAAACTCTTCCTTTGTAGTGATTTGTATTAACTCATGATCACAAAATGACAACAACAGTAGTATACTCTGTAAAATTTTCATGGTGATTAAATATAATGAAGACTTCTTGGATTATCATCCACATTAACGCTTCAATATTTAAATATTATTTAAATGGCCAGTCAGTAAAAAATTTGTGACATCATTTGTCAAGTTTTTCCTACCTCCAGTCACTCTAATTGCAGTAATTTCAATAGCAAATTGCTCACTAACTTGTCTTCTGCGTCACTTGCAATATCTACGTCACAACATTCTTTTCATCTTCATCACTATCTAATTCACTCCCAGTATCACAAATTATAATATTTCTATTAACAGGATCCTGTAAAATTTCTTGTCTTGGGGTTAAAGTAGCTACATCTAGTGCCAAAGCCATATTTAAGATTGTGTGGATCTATACATCCATGAACCTGAACATGGATCTGAATTAAGCACTAGGGATAGCTTTCCCCTCTTAATACGAGGGTACAGGTACAGCAGATAGTTAAATACTAGACCAAGGAGCTATTCTGCCTTTTCTTATAAAATAGTGAATTATACATATTTTTCATATACCATTTTATGGGAAAAAACTGTAATGGGGCCACCATTAAACTTTACACATACACCAGAAGGACATAAGGAATGATGATGATGATGATGAAAAGAAATAAGATCCTTCAAAATCCCACACCTGATAATGAATTCATAATTTTTGTATTTTCATAGAAGTAAAACAAAACGGCTGCCTGAGGATGCTAGTAATGCGTAACACGAGGTAATAAGATATGTTGGTAACAAAAATACCTTTAGAAAACAGTGAGAGATTTCTCAAACAGATTTGAAAGATCCTCTTCAGACTGCTCTCTCGGGGCCAGCTTTGTGATACGGTGCTGTAATAAATATATAAAATTAATAATAACATCGTTAAACATAAATATTAAGTACTTATATTGCTTAAATCAGGTGATGTCAGTCAAATTAATTTCCTAAGTACCAGCAATATATAAATTGATTATAAAAGACTTGAGGTTTTCATGGCAATGAAAACTTTGCTTGTGAATCCAAAATTATGACATCAATTTAATTTTTGACCACTGTGTGCAACTGTGCACTGGTAATGCAGGCATACATTTTCATGTAGGGTGGAAAATTTTTATTATGGTCAGACCCACCCCTCTGAAGTGATAACACCCGGTGAAGAAAGTCTCTGTCCATGCATGAATACACAAGTATGACCTTAATCACCAATAAGTTAAATACTGGTTGACATGGTAACCATTTTACCTTAAATGTGTTTATCTTTCATTTTCTTTTCTTTATATTTGAAGACTGGCACTGAAAATGTTTATGATTTCCTTCAAATTGCACTTTCAGAAACACTATGTGACTATTTAAAAATTACAGAAAAAATTATGTGAAATGCCAGTTTATTCAGCATTAATTTCATCATAAATTCTGTCACTTCCACAAAACGATGTTAATATGTGCACTATTTAGCAATTCAAGCAGACATGTGAATACTTAAAAATTCATATTGCTGCCTCAGAACTGAATTCAGAATATTATATGTGGGTCAGAGAAATTTCTGTGAGACGATATAAATGGTTTTAACATTAATGTGAAACTTCAGCTTTTGAGGATGAACTGCAATAAATGTTGAAAGTTATCCAATTTTTCAACAAACATGGAAGATGCCATTTTCAGGGTGAATATATTACATTCATGTTGTAAGTTCCATATATAACAGAATTCACATTCATATCTGTGTGGCAGGATGCTCCCTGAATCTCCTTGATCACTACAGTGTGTTTTCTAACATTACTTGTATCTCTGGAAGTGACCTGTACAAGATATCCTCACAAAATTTTGATTTCATTTATTTAATGCTCTGAACAGGAATAACAAATGGAATATTAATACCTGATGCCGGTGCAGTGGCCACGCGGTCTGAGGCATGGTCCTCGTGTGCCTGGCCTCTGCAACCGTGGTTTCGAGTCCCACTCAAGGCGTGGATGTTTGTCCGCGTCTCCTCTTCCAGTCTGGTGGGTAAAGACTGGCCATGGAAGGCAAGGCGAAACCACCGTGGTACTTAGGCAAGAAAACCCCAAAAGGGGTCACGATGGTCAAGCTGACCATAGACGATGAAAAAAATCAGACATATCAATCTTACCTGTGGTAAAGTTCCCCTCACGAGGTTCGGAATATCATCTTTGGTGTATCCCAGAGCACTGAGGCCATTCTCAACCTTCATGATATTCATGTAGCCACGTACTGTGTCTGCCAGAATCAGACCTGCGAGGTAAGACAGTATTTGTTTTGATATACATGGGAACAAACAATATTTTGTCTATGTAATCTGCCTAACCTTATCTGGCACCAAGCAAGCTGAAAACGGGCATGATCACCCTCTTCAAAATATCTATCCACTCTATTACTGATGATTTTCTCATCTTATTTGATTGTGTAACCTCAGAAGTTGAAATGGCAATGAAAAATAACCAATGTATTAATTAATACGTATATCCATCTACTTATCTATATCATATCTGAGCTAACCTACCTACTTGTGTGTATCAAATCCATTTCTACTTCCTATCCAATCAAATTGTTTCTCCACCCACCTGACGTACATATGGAAGAATCATGGGCTAGTCATACTTTTTTGAAATTTGAAGGTTTCTGATGATTGTGCTTTGTAATATGTAAAATTGTTCTTAGGAATTTATCCATCATATAAATTATAAAGTAATAAAACAATTTTCCAGTAGCTGGATTCTGCTTCTGTCTTCAGACCAGACCCAGGTTTGAGGTTAGCTCAACCAGGAAGCCCAACAGATGCTTTTCTGTCCTCTTCCCTCCTTTTTTACCTTCAGATTGAAGCAAAATCAAGCTTCTGAAACATCATAGTTTTGTTATTTTATAATTTAGACAATGGACCTAGTCCAAAAGAATAATTTTTATATCATAAACATATGTATATGTAGAAATAATTTCAAAAATTATGTAAAATAATAGGTGTAAGGTCCAAACACTTAGCATATTTCATATTTTTATTGCATAAGTCATGTAGTGTGGAACTTTAGAGAAAGGAACAGATTACAGAAAATACATCCCAATACCTGCATCTGCCTTCTTAGCATTGCTGACATCTTTGCCCAGGAGCTCTGCTGCTTCCAGGTGGCGCTCGGGGCAGGCCGGACCAGTGAAAGAAAACACGGCCGGAGAACTCATTACCACTGACAAGCCATGAGGTATGATTGGGTGGTCATCACTGCAATGTTCAATAGGATAAAAATGGCCACACAACTCTTGGGATCTATCAGTCTTTGTCCAAATTTTATATCTTAAGGAACAAAATGTATTTGAAAAAGTGTGTAATGATGTCAAAACAATGATGCCAACATGGAGAAATAAATTTTGGTTATAAAATCTGAAGAGCAGAGACCACTTGGAAAGCCTAGGCATACATGGAAAGACAACATAACACAGATCATAGAAAAATGGTATGAGCATGTGAATTAGATTCAACTCTTATGAACATGGCAATCAGCCTTTTGGTACCATAAAAGGCGTGGAATTTGTAGACCAGCTGCGTAACTATCACTCCATAAATTTCGCTCTTCACCATATACTAATAGGGTGACCATGTGAAGGCAGATCAGATGTGCAGGACTTGTATCATGCATGAGGGAAATGCCAACTGCATGTAACGTTTCAGTCAAAAAACCTAAAGAAACATCTCTTGGGATACCCAGGTGTAGCTGGGAGGATAACATTAAGAATGATAACAGATTAACGGTGACAATGTGAACTGAATTCAGCTTGCTCAGAATAGGGTCACATGTTAAGGCTTTTTGAATATGGTAATGAACATTTGTAAAAAAAATTAAAGCTGTCCTGCTACACGCCATGTAGGTTGCTTGGGGGGAGAAGATGTATAGCTTCTTCTCCTTGACCTCGGCCCTAGATGGGGGCGAGTGGTCAGCATCACGCCCTGGCCGCACTTTATCCCCAGGAAAGGACCATGGTACCCATCGGATAGGAGGCTGGGTAGGCCCCAGAGCCAGTCTGGATGCAGCGGCTAGAGGAAAAATTCTCTGGCCCGTCAGGGATCAAACCCCGGCCATCCAGCCCATAGCCAGTCACCATACTGTCTTGAGCTATCCTGGCTCCTAATGAACATCTGGGTTCCAAAAAAAAAAAAGGTGGGGAATTTCTTGACTAGCCGAACTTACTGTCAACTTATAAAGGAGGACGCTTCAATGTAGGTAGTAATATTTATTTCATTAAATAAAAATCTTACTTGTATCCTTTAGGCTGAAATGACCGGACATTGCCTGAGATGGGGTAAGACATGCCATGACAAAGGTGTACTCCTGCATTACCAAATCCAACTCCAGCCATTGTGGATGCCAGATGCATGCTAGATCGAGCTTCAACATCATCTGGTCGATAGACAGCTCTGAAAATGTTTGGTACTATTAGAACAGGGCTCTTGATTATTAAACAGAAGTATTATTAAATAACCTTCTGTGTGGTAAAAAATCTTTGGAGTCCATAAAATCAAGAAAAGTTCATGTTCCAGAAAGCGCTTGTACCATGAAATTGTTTTGATTTGAGTTTTCAAAACACTACATATATCTTCCTTCCATTATGTTTACTGACAGATAATCATAATAAAGTGTTAACAATCCTAATTATTCCTTACTTATAGCACCATATGTAATGGAGAAATGTTAATGAAAAAGACACACACATACCTTTCAAAATATTTTCTCATAATTTGAAGTGCATATCGGGCCCAGACATCAGAAATGGGATTTTGTCCTTGGTATGCTGGACGCAGAATGGGATTTGAAGGGCATGGAGAACGCTCTGTGAATGGAATGGCCGTATAGGACTCGAGTGCATGACAAAGAACATCAAACCTAGAGAAGTAACACAATGCTGTATTCATAGATGTGCACATGATTTTTTGTTCCATCGTATACAGTTTCATCAAACATATTCTGGTAACCAAATAATTTTCACCATCATAATTTAATGTCATAAACTGGAAGCAGAAATGAGAACTTTAAGATCTGTACTGGGCCAAAAAATAAATACTGAAATACATGATAAACTTAAAGTTAATAATATAGTTGAAGAATTACTACATATAGAAAAAAAAAGTGCACGTGGACAAAATGAGTAAAGACTGAAGATAACATGGAATTATAATCAAAGGGCAAAGAGTAAGAAGAAGACCAAGTAGAGGCATTAAGTTATATAATCCATGGTGACAAGAAGATAATTTCTGCTTCCATTATCATGTCATAAATTGTGAGTGAGTCCTCACAAAAATATGTGAAATAGAGGAGAAATGTGGAACAGGATATTAACATAATGAGGAATTCTGTGATTTATACAGATTATCAAGTACTTTTAATGTAGTCAAATAAGAAGGAATGGACTCACTATGGAGATCAGATGAGAAATGAGAAATTATATAAACTTTTGGAAATGTCTTGGAAAGTAGCAATTTTGAAAGCTATAAACCATGAAGCTGTTTGGTTATAGTATTTTCTTATCTGTAAACAAGCTGCATCAGAAATGTTCTGTTGTTCTTTCAAACCTTTTTCTGGGTTTTGATGCACAAATTTTCAATCCTTTACCCCCACTGACAGCAAAAGAGCAGCATTCCAAAAAGTCAATACAACACCATTCTTAAAATATGATTCTTTCAGATTTAATTAACATATTAACACATTAATTAATTAACATATAATCACAATATGACGCAACTTTATCATCTCATATTAACATAGCACAAATGCTCACTTAATAAAATAGATAAACATTTCAGAAGGTGAATATAAATGTAAAGTGTAAGTATTTGGAAGACTGAAAAGTATATATGAAAATAATATCAGAATTTACTTCAGTGAAATAAACTGTAAACATGATAACTGGGTAGAACTGTAAGTCATGTCCATTGGCCGGGTTTGCTATTACTAGTCACAAGCCTTCAGATTATACTGTCAGAATCTTACCTAATTACTTAGTTATGTAAATAAAATATGTTTACACAAGACAGAAAGTCAGTTGCAGTGTAAATAATGACTGAATGTAATGTACAATTAGATTTCTTACCCACTATAACTGCAAACCCTCTCTGGCATTGACAAAGTATGTAGAGGATCTACAACACCCAAAGTGGGCCGAATGGCACGGTTTGCAATTCCAGTTTTTGCTTTCAGAGGTTCATAGTCAAAAATGCTAACACCAGTTGTTTCACTGCCAGTCCCAGAAGTTGTTGGAACTGAAACAAATTAATGACTCAGATCTGCTCTTGATACGAAGTTGTGAAGTAAATTTGTTAATTCCAATTGTGATTAATTTCAAAATGTAATAAAGTTCTATGCTGTAATTTTTCCTCACCTGCAATAAATGGTTTTAGAGTACATGTAACAGGCTTTCCCTTTCCAATAGGCTGATTGACATAATCAAGAAACTCAGCTTCTGGATCAGAATAATACAAGTTGGCAGCCTTACATGTGTCCATTACAGACCCGCCACCTACTGCGACAAATGCATCATAGCTTCCAGCTTTTGCAAATTTAGTAGCTTCCTGCAAACTGTTAACATGTAAAGGTACAGAGACATACTTCAACACACACAGCTTATTCTTGAGTTAAATATGTCCACATTCTCATACATGTTTGTCCTTTTTCATTCATATGATTTACATATTTTTATCTGTCTGAGATCAAAACAACCAGGATTAAGTCATTTTTAACCTCAGAGGAAACTTAACATTTAAACTCTTTGGAAACTTCTTGATAAGCAATGGGTAAAGTTTTCCTTGCACTGAAGCTACACACCATGAAGACATACAGTGGGAAAACACATCTGAACATCGTAGCTAAAGGGTTGCATTCTTGCTTCATATATGGGAGACCCCTGATTCAAAATTCAGCCTAGACCAGTTATCATTATTTTTGAATGTCTGTATCCCACTAACAACTTTCAAACCAAATGGCAGAATAACATAAAACTTCATATGAGCATCATACCACTAGAGGCTGCCCCACCTTTATAATTTCCTATTATCAATAATACAAATGTGGAGACAATGCAAACTTCTCAGATGATAGTTACATCAGTGACAATTCATGTAGGGTGTGTAAATTTTAGAATGTAAAACATGTTGGGCATGTGAAATCTATATTTAGCTTTTAGTTTTATGGTGGCAATAAATGAATTATAGAATCTAGATATGTGAAATTAAATATGGAAAGTTTTACATAATAATTATAAAAATGGTAGTTGGTTGTGGACATTGAGGTTATATCTGATAAATTTAGGCCAAAAATATAAATGAAAATTATGCACAGAAATGGACTAAACTGAATAACTATTAATTTGACATTCCTGGCAGCCATTTCACATTGACTGAATCATTTCAAAGAAAATACTAGAACTTCTAGTTACTCTAATATTCATATGTTAATCCTCTGTCATGGAGAAATGTCCTGTACAAGCCAGTTGTAGGCCATTTCAGGTAATCTCTTCTTTATAATTTTGTAATAAAAGAAACATTCACGAGAGCAATTAAAGTCCTGGGTTACCTTTTTAACTCTCAACAAAACAACTGTATAAAAGTTCTTTGAAATTATATATTTGTCTCTCTAAAAACACCCATGAGCATGGTGATTTAAATACATGACAAACTCATGAGGAGTGGGAATGTTCACTCCCTTTCATGGTGTCACAGACATCATATGTCATGGAGTCTTGTTTAATCTTAGGTAAGTACTACATACAAAGAATTTAACAGACTTACCTTGCTTCTGTTGGTTCAACTCGGACTTTATCATATACTTCAAATTTGACTCCTTCTCTTGTTAAAGAATCTAAAGCTGTTTTAAGAGGAGGAAGTTTGGCAATGTTTGAATCTGTCATCACACATACATTCTTAGCTTTCATGTTTACAAGATCCATCCCAATTTCCCGCGTTACTCCTGGACCATACCGGATAGTTGAACATGCCATCTGTACACATGAAACATAAGCTTAAATTTGCAACTTTGGAATTTGCTTTAATTACCATTTGCTACTTATGCACTACTTTCACACATAATATGCTGACAGGTTTTCTTCAGTCTCTTCAGGTAAATGCTCTGCTGGTACAGTACCTTGAAAGAAACCAAGACACTCTCTTCTTAAATCCTTCATAATATTCATCATGTCCATTTAAGCATTATATGATCTCTGTAGTTGAAACAGAATGATCAAAAACCTAAGAAATAATCAATCATTTGATATTGTCACCATATTCTTGCTCCTCAGTCATTTATTTTAATTGTTTACTTTAATAACTTCCCAAGTGATTCTATAGTTACAATTCACTGTCAATGCCTTATGTCCATACCATTGTATTCTTAACTTCACCCATTTTTATCTGCCTTCAGACCTTTCCCAGTGTCCTGGTTTCACTTATTTAAATTATGATATTATCCTCCTTACCTCAAATGCATACTCTTTTGAAGGTTTTGCATCAGGAACAGAACTTGCATGGGATCGATGGTCGAGAATATCTGACATGCCATAACTGGTGCCAGGATGAGCGTGTGCAGGGCATTTGCACCTAAAATACACCATACATATTGTAATTTTCTGAAGACCAGTCACAATATAAATCTTCACCACCCTTCATTGCATGTTGCTAATTACATTTGTAGACTCAAAAATACACAGCTTGTGAAAGTTTTGTGTAACCCTAGGTGCCCTAAAAGCCAAATTGGCTCCATGATATTTACATTAATTCTTTCCTAAAGAAATTATTTTATCGAAACATGAAACGTTGGTCTTCAATTCTGCATGTTCCTATATACAATGAAAACTGGTTTAATTAGTTTTCCACTTTATGGAATACTCTGTATTTAGAAAGTTTTCATAATGCTGCAGCACATAATATATATTTTTATAACCCATGAATAATTGTCTGTGGACAATTTCCTTATTAAGAAGTCAAGGCCATATTAACATGCTGTTAAAAAGTACTGGGTGTACCACAGTGTGGTACAACATTTCACAATATTGTCTTCCTTAGTCAGTCCATATTGTAGCTACACTGTGCTTACGCTACACTTCTATTTAAAAAAATGTGCGCGCGCGAGCATAATAACCTGGTTATAATTTTTTTAATTTTAAATACATCGTGAATAAAGTCCTGTAAAGTGGTCTGGAAGAACGGATTGACCCAGATTTATAATTCTTGGAGCATTGTGAAATTTATTAAATAAGATCTATAATTGTTTTCGTTCCATAGAGTGCATCACTGCAGATTGTACAACAAATATAAAATCACATTCAACCGCCTATCAGATTTGTTTTTTACGCCCGTTAATATTTATCGTTAGTTCCCACGTTTCTGATTCGCTTTTATCGCTTGCTTCTTCGATCGTAGCACCAAGGTCCAACTCCAGCGGCTATCAGAAGATTTTAGTTTCTGTATGGTATACGAAAGTCCTCTTTAATATACCAGTTAACAGCTTTAATTAAGACTTCATCACTAAATGTTACTTATATTATCTTGTCTCCAAAACAGACTCCCACTTAGCATATTCCCAGCTTCGAGCTGTGAATCACATAATTATAATAATTATTGTTCACTTTGTTGTTTACTTACGATGCACTGGAAATAACCTGTAGGAGGTCCAAAACTTTTCGTCGTGGAATCATTTTTTTCTTCTTCGTTTCGCCAAGCGAGCTTCTGTTTCTAACAAAAGTACAGGATGAGCATGACAGTCAAATTCTTCAACCCAATGTACGTAGTTCAGCTGAAGATTGGTCTAATGCAAACGTGACAAGAACGTAAACAGTTCACAAGGACGACTTCATTCGACGTCATCAGTGTACAGAAATGTACAGTCTTTGCATATAAATAGCACAGATCTCTACTGTACCAATCAAACTAGTAGCCTTGATCTGTGGATGGAGAATTGTGAAAGGGAGTGTATAAAATTATTTAATAGGTTATGCATGCCAGGATTCGTAGAGCACCACACTGCCACGCGCATTAAGCCATGTTAACTTATTCGAACTATTTATCGCAGAATCTTTGAAGGTCACGAAGCGTCATCTCCGTGTAAAGGCTCCTGAAGCATCATGAGTCGAACATTGGTTGGCATAGCAGTGACGTGTCTTGCTTGCATTTGGGAAATCGCCAGTTCGAGCCCTGGAATAGGAATTGTAATCTGACGGATGTTTTCATGGTTTTTCCTCCAAGAAAATCAATAGATTTCTTTGGAAATAACCAAAGGTTTTAACTGTCACAATATCGTTAAATCGAACATCGTGGTCTGGCTGATACCGTATGTTATGCTACGACAACTTCCTTCCAAGTTCTTCTCAGTTTATAAAATACTAGGCATTATCATCCCATCATTCGACGCTATACAGTTTTGTCTGAGCTATTGACAGTGACGATAAATAAATTAGGTTAAACACGTGAAAACCAAGAAAATCTGTTAAGTAGGCTAGAAGTGACATGGTTCAGGGCTTCCACGCGTAAGTATAGTTGGCAGCTATTTAACTGGTCAGAAATTCTTTTTTCTTTTACTACAGTCTGCAAATCTTGTTTTTTTTTTATTAATTCCCTCTGTCTTCTTGGTGCTTCTTGCCGTGAGGGTTTCCAACCAAATTTCGAATGTTGTCTCCCCATACATGCCACACATCTGGCCCAGCTCGGCTACGAAATCGACCTTTTTGACGAATATTCAGACGTTATTATCTGAATTCTGAGTTCAGTCTCTCGTCAGATACTTGTTGAGCGCGTCTTCGAAATGCTGTTGATTATTTTACGTTTCTACAACCCAAGCGAAAAATGGCACAGCCTGAGTAGACATGTGCTAATATCTTGTTTTCGTTAGTAAAGTGTAATAAAATCCCAATCCAGCGCTGCATGAAATTTCATCACTCTCTGCCTGATACAGCAAAGAGTAGTACAAATCTTAAAGCCAAACTCAGTATGGATTGTCTAATTCTGCCTTCTATCAGAATTCGGTCGGTGGGCCATAGGTTACTGTTTTCCCCCAACAGACGTGAAAGTACGATTAAGTATGTGTGGAAGTTAAAGTATGTTATTTGCACGGCGGTAATATTACGAAGCTTTAAACGCCAACACATGCGTTATCCCAAATCAAATACAACTACGTGCAGTTGTGACTATTTCAGATGAGGGAGCTGCTTGGTGATTACCGACTCTTATCAAGTGCGGACTAGCGACATCTTCCACGATTTGCGTGTACTTGGTTTCATATAATTGTAAGAAATCCTGCATAGAGGGAAGCAAAAATTGGAAGCACTACGGGTGTAATGAAAAAAATGGTTAAATGTGCATATATACAGATGAGTTTCGACTTCAAAGGGTTAAAAGAACTAATAATACGGCTTTCGTAAAAGGTTAGTTTATAGTCGCATTGTGTTACTGATGAATGTAATGTCGAATATTTTGTTGTACTGGGTTAGATTTATAGTCTGATAATTATTCCTAATCTATTTAAATTTTTGTTTTGAAATATCGTTTAAAACAATGATTTGCTTCACGGTGTTGACACCGAATCTGGAGAACACTCGAAAATGTGATTATATAATATGCCGCGCTATCGCACGGCAAGAAATGGAAGCAGAATTTCCAAGCTCCGTTCAGGAATTCGATTGTAATATCACCCAAAGCGCTGCCGGACAAGTCCGCTAGTTCCGGGAAATTCAATGAGCTGAAATGTTGCCAACTACCTTCCCTTTTTAATCTTAAGAGATATCGATGTTTAGTTATCGATCAGAGTCAGGGACACTTGTCACTTGTTATGAATAGTTACGGAACAGTAAAATTATTGTAAAGTGCTTGAAAGAAAAGTGTAATTTACGGTACAGAATGTCTGGAAATTTCCTGGTTTCGGGAAAAAGTACGCAAGGACCGAGTATGAATCTATTAAATAGCCTGGACGTCCTCTTAGTTCAAGTATGTATATAACTTACGTTTTCTTGCCATGTTATTTATCACTTCCTTGTTAATCCGTTATTTTACGAAGTTATTCAACGTTAAATGAGCCATGATCTTACCTGATCTATATTATTTCTGTAATCACCATTCTCATTGATACAATGCTCATGCTGCATCCGTGAATAACCCATCATAATCTTGAATTTGCTTTCGGGTGAATATAAAAACTATTGGAATTTTTCCAACTGTTGTCAACAGTTCCTAGTGGAAGGCAAATAGTAGCAATACCTATATCAACTTTTCAGGTTCAATGTAGCAGAGAACAGCAATGAAATGCATTTGGTAAGATATGGCTTTCTTCATATATTTATCATTATTATAGATCTGCATTAGTAAATCACATGCCAGGATGCTGTAGCAGCTAGAACCAAATTCTTTTAGCAATTGTGTTGTCAGTGGCGTATTTCTGTCTTGCTGTAAGGAGCCATTACTTATTGAAACATTAAAAATTTGTAATTTGTTGAGATTATGCAATAGAAATTATATTAGTTATTATTACTATTCCTACTACTATTGCTGTTGTAGTTTTATATCATGTTATATAATTTCACATATTTTTTATTTTTTCCCAGAGATTCATATTAATATAAAAAAATATTCTGTAATGACAATTTTTCCAAAAGTACATTTTGCATTTTTGTGTTGTAAAAATGACTTAAAAATTCTTAGTAGTTATCAGTTTCACTGATGCTGGAACTCATACTTGCAATTTTATTTTTAACTTTATTGTAGAGGCGCCCTACCAGAAAAGTAGAGCAGAGACTGCCACTGAATGATAAATGCCACAGAAGGCAATATTTTACAAAATTTAGAATAGCAAAAAAAGTTTCCAATAGAAATGTAAATAGTCACTAGCTTAAAAATCTGAAGTGGTCCCCACTTGACTTTTTCAAATCCAATTTTTGAAACAGTAATTGAAAATAATCAATACAGAGAACACAAAACTTTCATTTGTATCAAACTTACATTTTTAATTTTTAATTAGTTTATGACTACAGTACTTTCTGTACATGTATGAAAAAGGATAGGGTAATATTATTAATATTTGAATTTCATCCTGGGCCAGCGTGAAATGTTTTACACATAATTTTCATCGCATTGGCAATATTTTGCCACCCTAGATTAATATCTCTAACTGGTATGCTATGTTTGATGGTTTTGCCCACCCAGCCTCCTATCCAATGGGTACCGGGGTCCTTTCCCGGGGGTAAAGCCGGCCGGGGCGTGATGCTGACCACTCACCCCCATCTAGTGCCAAGGTCAAGAATGAGTAGGAGCTATACCTCCACTCCCCCCAAGCGCCTACATGGCGTATAGTGGGACAGCTTTACCTTACTTTTGTATGTAGGATGCGTAAGGTTGAGTGATCATGACGATACATTGTTAATTACATACTGTATGTTTGTTCACTAACATTTGCTGGATAAATTGAATATTAGAGTACTTAATGCCTGTTGTGATGGCATTTCTATGATTACTATCCCTAATTAAATATGAATGTATTCTTATGAATGGAACCAGCCCTTTTAATAAGATGAAATTCAAGAAATGTTACCTTATGTACACAGAAGTACACTGCATCTCCAGTTCTTTGTAGTATGGTATATAAATTAAATAAAACATTTTATGCAACAATTTTAGAGTATTGTGAGAATGTACTTAGCATGCCACTTCTTTTTTTCACCAAAGTCATGTTTTATTTATGCTTAATAGACCAAGAACAAATGTAAAGCAACATAAATTGCATACAATTCAGTTATGCTTTTAAAGCACACTGGAACCATATGGTTAATGTATGACATTTTATTTTATTTGTAGTGTTCTGTCTGACGACAGGTCCATATATCATGAACAGGATCCTTCCAACCTCTTCAGGTTGTCAGGGACCTGCTCATACATATATACATTCTTGGCAGAGATGATCAGAAGTGGTTTGCCATTGCCTTCTTCTGTGTGTGAGTGGAGTAATTGTTGGGATGCCACGGAGAAACCGGGGAAGCCCCCGGAGGAAAACTCCGTGATGCCTAGACCACGGCATATAATATTCAATAATGCTGCAGTTGGCCAATATAGTGTATTATTGTGCTTCATATGATTTTCAGAATAAACAACAATTACTTACCTAAACATTATCAAACAATTTATCTTTGTAATGGACATGTTTTCTTTGAGGTTATGACTCATTTCTTAAAGGTTATTTAGATGGGTGTTACGCTTCCAGGAAAAAACCCAACTCAGCTTAACCTGTCTCTAAATTTGTATTTGTTGCAGATACAAAAATATGTCATAATATAAGAAAAAGTTGTTTTATCATTGCTAGCAGAACTACAGATGCACCAAAACTTCTTGTAGCCAAAACAGGCATGAGTAACTGGTCACTATTGCAAAGACATACTTAAAATGATAAAGAAATTGTGATAACCATTTTTGAATAACATTTAATAAATCCCATTGAACAGTAAAGCACAACTTGTAATATTTTAAACCTACCATATAAAAAAGCATAATAATGAAATGTATCACTGCATATAATGTACTAAGCTGTCAAATGTATTACATTTGGATTAAGAATAACACAGAATGCCATTTAAGACTTGCCTTCATCAGCATCCGATATGGCAAAACCATGGCATGTGACTATACCAACATCCTTCACATTGTTGTATAATCTGACAGCTTCATTATCTGCACTAAACCTAGTTAGAAAATCAGTAGGTTCATATTGTTTTTCAGTTGACATATATTCTTAATTTTTTTTTTTTTACAATGGAAGCATATATATAAAACCATTCAGTCTTCTCAGCCATCATCATTTACCAATAGGTAAATCATCTCCAGCCAGTATCAATGCTATTTCAGTTCATTTTGTTCATTATTTTCACCTTTATACTGTATATTTGTTTTAGTCAGTACTTCTCATTTAATATTAATAACTGCTTATTATAACTACTTATATATGAAGTGTACTATCACCTTTATCCACCATATTTATAATAACAAATTTGAATTTAATGGGGAATTAGTTTTCATTTAACTAATTTTGTTGATGAACAGAATCTATGCTTCAAAGGCCAGAAATATACCAGAGGACCACATACTTAAGCAAATAAAAATTTCCTGCTGTCTCCTAAAATATGAACTGCACACGACAAAATTAAACAATACTGCATTTTAAATACTTATCCAATTTTTGGTTTTAGTATGGTACAAACATCTGGTGGGAAAAATAATACATAAATAATTGTTTATATTTTCATATTTATATTGATTTAAACCGAGAGTTAAAAATGTTATATTTGGTATTAGGTAGTCCTACTCGGAAACAAAATTTAGTGTAATGATTTGATTTTGTGGTGTCAGAGATTATATTATTTATTCAAGTCTGATGTGTAGTGTGCAGTTGGTATCAGCTTGATGTTCATTGGCCAATGCACATGAGTACACTTCACTTCTTCCATAAAGCTTGAAATGTAGAGAAATATCACAAATTCACCACGAAGCTATGCAATGGATATCCTTGCAGCATAGTCACGTATGTAGTGCCTTTGGTCATCACCTTTTTTTGACTGGCCTCTAAAATTTTGGCTGGTTACTGAAATATTTTAAAAATTGTTTACCCCCACACTAAACTCTTCTAAGAAACTATAAAGTGCTGATTAATGTTTATAAGTGAAATGAAGGTGTGAATTTATGGTTTAAACATTTTATCATGCAGGTTGACAAATTATTGGGGAGTAACTTCACCCAGAATCCCTGATCGCCCCCCAACTTCAACATCCCTGTCTTTATTATGACAAAAATGGAGTCTTTCAGTCAGTTCTGTGCAACTATAACAAAATACTGGTGCTCACTGCCACTTTCAGTATTACAGCACGTTTCATACAGATTCAGGAACAATGTTAGAGTGATGAAAAGGACTGCTGAGGTATGAAACCTTGCTAATTGGCTGTGCAGTATCAGTGGTAGTTTTATTGGTGTCGTCGTTAGGGGAAGTATATATTCGCTGTTCACTGGCATGTTCTGGATCTTTGGTCATCATCACTGGTGTAGTGGGGGTATTAGGATCCTCATACAGCTGCTGGTACAGCGCTGTACGACATATACTAAGCCTTCTTGCATTCCTATTCCTGTAACTATTCTTCTGCCTACTCCACCGAAGAAAGAGTGCTACGAAAATGAGAAGTGCCAAAATGATTGAAAATGCTGATAAAATTACTATTATGATGGGCCACGTGTAGTTTATCTTTGTGTGTGTCACAGGATCCTTGTGAATGTCCTCTGGAAAATAATTCAACGCATGCTCTGGTATACCTGTGGAGATAAAGGCTATTTCTTCAATGTCAAATACCATTTCAGTATGGTCCGACGGTGGTTCAAGAATTATTTTATCTTCGGATTCATCTGAAATAGATTTGGGATCCACGACTTTGTCACCGGAGTAATCTGGTTTGGTTATATCAATTAGTCTCTGCTTTTCTTGACAGATGTAGTTCATAAATTTTTCCCATCCCAACTCGTATTTCATAGATACTAAATCCACAGCACCTGTAATCTTCATTTCTTCAAACTGTTTCATTTGTGTGGCATCTGAAGATGCCACCTCTCTTTCAGTCAGCAGTGTGACGAGCTTCTTCATATCATCATTGCATGTCAGTGGGTTGCCACTCAGTACAAGAGTCTGCACATGTTCAATATAATTTAAATCTTTTGGAGATAAACTCTTGATTTTATTATTAGCAATGTTGAGGTAACTGAGAAATTTGAGAGGCCTAAGTGCTGTTTCAGTTGTGTCCCACAGTTGTTTAAGCTCACATGAGTTCAGGTGGAGGCTCTTCAGTCTAGCGGTGTTGACAAAGTTAGCTGGCGAAATCTTCTTTATTGGATTCCCAGAAAGATAAAGTGTTCTTAACGATGATCCAGAAGGAAAACTGACTTGATCAAGATGAGCAATTTTGTTTCCTGATAAATCTAGAAAAATTATTTTAGGGCTCAGAACACCAGGTTTGATGTACTGAATTTCGTTTCCGCTTAGGTACAGACGTCTTAGGTGGTCCAACCTCTTCAAATTGTCTTCTTCCAAATGTGTCAGTCCGCATCTCGACGCATCCAGGAAGTAAATTTCACTGAACTCCTCTTTGAAACCTGTTTCAGGAAACCTTTTCATTTGAGGATTATTTGCAAGTTTCAGTGTTTCTAATTGGACATTTTTGACGAAGATATCATCAGAAAGTGGACCAATCAATTTATTATTTGATAGGTCCAAGTTTTGCAGTTTTGTCATTTTCTTGAAGGCATTTGAATTTATTGATGTTATAGCATTAGCGCTAAGATTTAAGTCTCTCATATTTGGGAATCCGACAAAGGTATCCATGTCAATAGTAGTGAATTTACACAGACTAAGATCCAATATCTGAAGACTTTCTATTTGAACGCTTCTGAGTGATGACAGAGGATTGTTTCTCATGGTCAGTGAGTTTATTTCTGAGTTATTTTCAAACATATCTGAGCTCAGTTGACTCACTTTGTTATCTGAAAGGTCCAGATCACCCAAGTCAAGTAAAGGAGCAAATGTTTCTTTTGGTATATCCGAGATGTTGTTTGATGCCAGATTGACGTATGTTACTGTTGTTAGCTTCTTAAACATTGTTGGAAGCAGGTGAGACAAACTACATCCAGACAGGTCCAAATCTTGAAGTGATGGAATATTAAGAAAATACTCACTGTATGGAGAATTTTTAACTTGCATGTTCTGAAGTGAGTTTTGACTCAGAGAGAGTTTCTCTAGGTGCGTGTTGTTTGCAAACATGTCAGGTTCAAGCAGCCCAAGATGATTTCTACTGAGATTCAGCTGATTCAGGTTATGGAGGCCATGAAATGCATTTACATGTATCTCCTTCAAAGCGCTATTTGCTAACGTAATCGATGAAATGCGCTTGAGACCTACATTAGAAAAGATTCGATCTGTAAGTTTTAATCCTGATGATTTGGGAATATTGGAGAGGTCCAGATAAGCAATTTCCAAGCCAAACTGTTGTGTATCATCAAAGGCACTACATTTTGCGTGGATTCCCGATGTCCCTGTTGTATCACACTTGCAGTATGTTGGACAGTCACCGCTCCTCACCAGGTGTACTGATACCAGAAGTGTGAGAACGCTGTGCACAAGTAAACGTCTCATTGTAGTTGACCCTTGTCAAAACTCTGGAAAAAAGAAAAAGAAGATACAGTCCTCGTTATAGGAAGTAACACTTCTTAAATATTCAATGACATTGTTACTATTAGAACAATTATATTACACAAAATTGCAACATGAAATGTTTGTATTTTTTAAATGTAATGCCTCTAGGTATGGTCCACAGATGTTACTGGGGCGAGAACTCACTGTCTTAAACGGAGGCCACCGGGTCCTCTCATGAAATATAATGTCCCGTAATTTTTATACCTAGAACCGTTTTGGAGAAAACTGGTAAATTTTTATTTGAGAATTTCACGTGCTCTATTGCAGTACCTCGCATTGTAGACAACAAGAGTGTGAAGGTATAGCTCAGAGAAGTTCATAATCAAGGCATTAGATTGACATGAGTTAACATTATCTCGCTCCGGCTGATTTGCCTCGTGAGGGCACCTTCGATACCGATGGAATGTGTGACGGGATGGGCTATAGAGACTGTCTGGATGAGGTGGTAAAGGGGAAATCCGTGATTCTGCCGGAAATCGAACACCTGTCACCCACACTAGCTAGTCACTTTAGTGACTGCGGTTTCCCGGCTGATCTGATACTAATACAAATTGAATTCGTGGGGCAAACTTTCTGCACTCGACCCATAACAAATTACATCGAAATTCATCCATTAGTTTCAAAGATGGACTAGTATGTGATTCGGCGATCGGACGTACACGAATTTCCATGTGTTCACTTCCGTTGACGTATAAAAATCTTAAGCTTATTTTAATTTGTTGGTGTACAGTCACGAAATATGTAAGTCATACACAAAGTCAAGTCCTTTCAGAACCGGTCTGTTCCGTTTTGCCTTCTTTTGTTCTTGGCTGGTCGTTCGAACGCAACTTTTTCTATGTCGAAAAAGATTTCGTGCTGAGAAAGGTTGTGAAATTAACCGAATCCCAACACTTCCAAGTTTGCGTTAAAATTACAGAAACGTTTGCTTTCATACAGGGCCAATACGATTACCAGCTCAAGATAACACGAGAAATTAATCAAATTAGATGGGGTGATTGTACTTACTTTGATTTTATCTGCCGCTATGTACGTATTTACCGCGGATTAGTTATTTTTCAGCATGCCACACGAAACTACGGAATGTTTATGCAGTAGGCCTACATTCAATATAGAGTACGTACAGCTGAGGTAATATATTTGTAGGACGTAAATAATACAACGTCTCCTCCTACTTCCTCACCCAGCTCCCTCCTTGTGGCAAAAAATATTGAACCATTTAAGTTTGACAAGCGAATTTGGTATCAGGATATCCATGTGCCAATTCTGCCTAAAATATTTTTATATGTTAAATCCACTCTTGGTGAGCGCGCGCAAGTTTATGTTACTGTGCAAATTTAGAGTAGCCGGAATCTGCCCTAATGGAAATTATGTATATAAATGGATGGCCAAGTTTATTTAGAGTCCATCCTATCGTTAACATAGGCATGTGAGTATAGTTTAAAGGATTTGAAGGAAAAGGCAGGAGGTACATGTTCTTCCAGGAATTCTTGTTACATTTCTATCGACTTACTGATGTACGGACGATCAGGTATCTGCCGATTTAAAGAAAACGTGAGATTTGTGGTTATATAAACCTTACAGGCGCGTAGGAAAAATCTTCAGACCTGATAATACACAGATAAGGCAACCTTACATATAACACTATAACGGAGGAGATTTTAAATCAGATTAAACATATTATTACAAAAGTGTTTGTCTGTCTATCTTTAAGCAACGGAAGGTCAGTCATGGTACTTTTTTTTGTTTTTTTACTTTTAATTGTTGTTGTCAATGGACGATATTTGAAGAGATTAATAATATAAAATACAAAGCGTACATCAGATAAATGGCGCCATATATCGGCAAAGACAGCTGATATATCACATGGCAACAGCATTTGTATGTCGTATCTTGAATACTAACGTGAATAATAGGGTCGACACAAGTGGGAAGATAAAGGAAACACAATTATCTTTTATTAATTGTTCTTTGGGTTCACTGACCACCTGTGTATCTCGCGCCACTTAGTGCAAAGCAGTCTACTAAACCGAAGGGGCGTTTTACGATGTTTTCTTATAATGTCTTACCATAACAGAAGAAATTTAACCTACACCAAAAATTCTATGATTTTCTTGTCGATATTATGAATTTTAACATGCAAGGTTTCTAACATAATCCTTCAAAGCACACCCCCTGCTTTAATATTCAATAGTAATGCAGTTTCTTCACAGAGCGTTTTTATGGGGCTCGTATGATTCTCACAATAAACAGTAACTGTTTCCCTAAACAGCAGTAACAAGCTGATCTTTGAAGATGGCTGCCTTTTGGGTTGTTGCGCCCTGTAGTCTGGTAGTTTACCGACGTTTCAGAGGTCCTTCCTGCCACTGGTCTAAATAAAGTAACCACCTGTGTGATAGCTTTCTTCGGCAGGTGATAATTATTCAGTTGGGGAATACACCCCCTTCTTTTATGGGACCCCAAATCGCTAAAGAATGTCAGTAAACCTGAAACTGAACTAGTTCATTCCAGTCCACATCATCACCCTTGACTTCTCTTCAGATTTATTATAATTTTATCTTCCCATCTTCGTCAAGTTTCTTCATGTAATGTATCTCTCATTTGCCCCCGACAATGTTAATCGAACAGATTACTACTCCCGTATGGATGCAATGTTCCTTTTAGAAAGCAATGACTGGACCTGATGTTTTAAGTATGTTTCCCAATGCTGTGACAGGCGACAGCACCAACATTGCCCTTTGTGACGTAGTTCAACAATCTTAGGTCACAGCTTATAAACCAGTCGCCTTATCTGAAGTCAGACAAAATGCACGTTCTTTTGTTTCATTTAAACGTCAAGACACGCACATGATTTAATTGAAATGTTGTTGTGCAGACTTCGTTGTGTAGTTATTGTCGGAATCTGAACTCGGTAATTAACATTCGGTTCCATAAAATGTAGGGACTTTTTTCACTAGAAGAGTCACTGAACTTTGTTACATTAAGGATCTGAGTTATTGGCGATCCGTTTGTCTGTCCCAGATTTAATTACAGACATCAGTATCACAAACACATGCCAATGGATTTTCTTCAAACTCCATCCATCATGATATCGGAGCGAGCACTCGCTGTCTTAGAACGAGGGCGAATCAGAAAGTTTCAGCAATTAATTTATTAAATAATTTAATTACAATCAGTATTATATTTATAGTTTAGATGCGTCATGTTTGTGTTCAAAATTCAAATATATATTTATTATTCAAGTCTATACACAAACTTTTAAATTGTAATGTTAAAATTTAAAATCACCATTAATATTCTGCGCCATTCATCGTTGGCGCAGAATATTAATGGTGATTTTATTTAAATTTTAACATTACAATTTAAAAGTTTGTGTATAGACTTGAATAATAAATATATATTTGAATTACAATCAGTATGTATAATAGCATCATTTTTCGATACAGCACAAGCTTTATGAAACCCAAATCAGTCTCGGACGATTTCATGAGCAGAAACATGACTGATGCCCCATTTTATCGATAGTCACCCGTCGATTATCCAGAATCATGGCACGGATTCCTTCACTGTTTTCCTCTACAGTGGATGTGGATGGGCACTTGTGTCGGTGGCACTTGTGCAAACGTTTGTGAACATAAGTTATCCATTCGTACACACTTCGATGCGATAAACCACTTTTTCCATATTGTGATGAAAGTCTGCTATGTATTTCTGCCTCTGGTATAGCTTCGGACCACAGAAATCGTGTCACTGCACGCTGCTGTTTGGTGCATAAGGAAAGTGGAGCGGCCATACAACACTACAACTGGTTAAGGTCGAAAGTATTTCACAATAAAGTAGTGTTCGTATTTCTACCATCGCACAAAACAAGCAGTGCAACAGACATATTAAACTGTAAAAGATATCAATACGGAAACTTTCTGATTTTCCAAATAGTCATTTCCAACATGGCTACAATGATACTACCGTGATACCTATATATGTTCCTGCTTAAACGTTCAGTGCTTATCGCCCATACCCAAACTATTAAAGTTTAATTTTTGCATTATCCTCCTCTCCATGGCAAGGACTCTCAAGGGATCCCTTCCGGTTTTCTGAGGAAACAGATCGTATTTATTGGTTGATACGACTCAGAATAATGATTATTTTCTTAAACAGCATTAACCAACTGATATTTGTAAAGGATAAGGGTTTTGTTGTCTTTGAGATAGGGAATAAATGTTCAAACCTTTAGACGATGTGCATGAATAGGTTAATGTACGATTTCGATGTTGTTCCAAGGATATCAATTTTTGATATGATACTATATCGATTAAGAACTATTTAGGAAATAATAAAATGGTAATCATGCGAAACATTATGAAGCAATGATGACAACTCATGAATCATTGTAACTAGAAGTTTACATTTATTAAAGCAAACTAAAACGTTAATTTGTGTCTTCATTAGCTGTGCTTGTCAACGGTAACTGCGTTTAATTTTTGTTGAGTTTTAAATCTGCAACATCCAGTCTATCACATTGGTTGGTTTCGGATAAGTCTACGAACCAGTATCGGTCCAAGGCCGTGAAATTACAATTAGCTTCACGGTAGTTCAATCAGTAAACTGATTGGCTATGGGGTAGCTGACCAGGGTTCGATTCGCGGTAAGAAGACAGCCAGAGGAGTATTCATGGCGGTAAAGCGGTCGGAGCGTTAAGCTGACCACTCCCCTCCATATAGTACTAATTCCTTGAAGCAGAGATCTTATTGAGAAGCTTACAGACGCCCAGCTAGTTAAAATGTTCCTCGCTATTTATGAAACCGTCATTAGATCCTGTCGTCACATGAATCCAATCCACACCCTTACACCCGTCTCTTAAGATACATTTTACTATGATCTTCCTCTCTGTGGCAAGGTATCCCAAGTTATCCCTCAGGTTTCAGAGTAGAATTTTAGAAAAAAAATATTTTTATTATGCTTGCTACCGTTTATCTTATTCTCCCAGGTTTGACCATGCTAACAATATTTGGTAAAAGATTAGTTATGAAGCCCCTCATTGCCATTTTATCTCCTGTTACTCCCTCCTTCTTCGGCCTAAATATTCTTTTCAGCGTCTAATTCTTGAACAACTCAGTTCACCATTTGTCTAACATGGGCCCTACTTGTCATGGCCTGTATTATGTTTTCTATAGCACGTTCCTTGACCATATTATTTGGACAGTCCGTATTTTTACGAGAGCGGCCTAGTTCCATTAATTGTTGATATACAGGGTGATGCGAAGCCCTGGTACAATACTTGATGAGGTTGTTGCGGAGATCCTTCGGAGCAGAAATTGCAAATAAAAATTTTCTTTTCAGATTCGCCACTGTTTTCGCTTTACGACGTTTATACTCTGGTGCCGCTCTTATTATTGACTGTCGACTTTTACATAATGGAAACAGTTCGTTCTGACATAACATGTCAGTTGATTTCCTTATTTCGAACGATAAATAGCAAATTGAGGCTTTCCTGGTATTTTTAATCTTCACTTCAGAGTACTTATTTAAAGTATATTTCTATTCGTATGGGTGCAGACTTGTTACCGCTGCTACTGTCTGTGCTTCCACAAATTCTGAGCATGGAGTTCACGTCGTACGATCACAGTGATACAAAGCGACATCAACTTAAAAACGTCGTCATTCGGAAACAATGGCGAATCTGAATCGGTATAAAATAACTTATAAAGAAAATTAAAAATACATACTAAGCAAGTGATAATCTCAGCTGATAATCGTCGGTCTTTTTTTCCACATAAAATCAGTCACTGTTTAGTCATTGTCCTTATAATGGAGGAATTACATACGTATGAGATATCGTTTTGAATGAGGACCTCGGGCAAGAACTTAACATCTTGCATCTACGCTCAGATCCTTTAAAACAGCTTTTTTAGGTTATCTAGAATATTCCGAATGAGATCTTTATTTGCTTTGTATACGACTGTCCCACTTAATGTGAAACCGCGTGCAGCAGCAGTAGTAGCAGAGAGCGAACTACCGGGACATGGATTAGTCACAACGCAAGCCATTGCCGTCGCATGCTAGCAGGTGGGTTCCGAGTTACGTGGGACACCCTTTTCTTTTATATAGGCCAATGTACCTAATTTCAGAAACGGGAGATTTTCTGTGTCGTGTCAGACTTTTCACGGAAAACCCTGTTCCACGAAGATGGTTGCTTAGACGAGTGAAATACAGCGTATCGACAATAACACGGCGACCGTCTCCGATATAGGCCTATAGTTCAGGCCCCAAGTAATAGACAACGTTCAGTTCTGAACAGCACTACAAAAGCCCGGTATACACGCGTCGAGGACGGATAGCGATTTTGCGCACTTTCAAATCGTGAGACGAACACTCGAAAGGAAATCCGCGTGTGAAGAGCGCGTCACGGAGTCACAAACTCGACTGATTATCAGTTTGGAGACGAAGCTCAAATGGGAAGTGTTTGTTCTACTACTGATTTGCTTTGTAAGAAGTTTTTAAAAATCGTAAAAATAAAAACCCAGTCCAGAAGTAGGTTGTCTGTTTCTGATCACGGGTTCACAGCGTGTACAATAGGCGTGGCAAACTCACTGCCTGCTAAGGGACGCTTAAAAATAACAAGATCGTTTCCAGGGGCCATCACATGGGTGGGGAAAATCATAATCGCCAAGTTTTACCAATTCTAGGCTAAAGTCTAATATATATACACACACACACATACAGTAAAACCCCTCAACTTGGCCACCCCTATATCCTGGACACCCCTTTATATTGGACACTTTTAATTGGAACCGTCCACAACACCCTATATCTTGGACACCCCTTTTGTTGTAAGTTG